ACCTGGTGGACCAATTTTCCACCACCACCACCACTACCATGGGCTGGTCGGGGGAGAAGGGAGGATGGGAAGGGAGGATGGGAAGATCCTCCTCCCCCCCTCCTCCTCCTCCTCCTCCTCCTTCTCCTCCTCCTCCTCCTCCTCCTCCTCCTCCTCCTCCTCCTCCTCCTCCCCCTCCTTCTCCTACCTATGGTAGTGGTGGAAGATCGGCCCATCAGGGTTCTCAGGGGCTGCCCCCCAGGACCAGCTCCTCACTCTGGGTCGTTCGAACTCGATCGAACGGGCCCGGGGGGGGTCCTTGGAGGCTCCGTGCCGCATCCGAGTCGAGCCCACGTCGGATGCGAGAAGCGAACATCGTCGGCGGCGAGCCCGAGGGGGCAGTGAGCGGGGGCGGGCCCTCTCGGAAGGCGGCGGGGCTTCTCAGAAGCCCTCGCGCCTTCCGGGGGCGTCTTGGGAGCAGGCTCACCAGGCTGACTTCCCCGCAGGCGCGAGGGCCTCTGAGAGGCCCCGCCGCATTCCGGGAAGCCAGGCCCCCCGACGCGACGCGACCAGCTCGGCCGGGGAGGGCGCCCGTGGCGACGGGGCGGCCGCGGCCGCGCCGAGGCCCGCCCCGCGTGCGCCCCCGCCGCGCGGCGCGCGGGCGGCGCAGGAGTGCGGGAGCGGAGGGCACGCCGTGGGCCGCCCCGCTCTGCCCGGGCCTGCCTCGGGCCTGCGCGCGTCTATAGAGGGCCCCCCCCCCCCCCCCCCCCCGGGCGAGGCGCGCGGGTGCGGACCCCGGCGTGTCGGGCCGAGGCCCCCCGAGCGGCGGAGCGATCCGTGGCCGCGCCCTCGCGGCCTGGGCCTGCTCGGGAGGCGGCGGGGCTTCTCAGAGAGGCCCTCGCGCCCTCCGAGGAGCTGGGCTCCGTCTTCGTCGGGGAAGGCTCAGGAAACGTCTCGGGAGGCCAGGGGGGGCTTCGGCTTGCCTCAGCTGTGGGTGCACCGTGAAGCGCCTCGGGGCCAGCTCACCCGAGTCGGCGTTCCGCTCATATGGGCAATTACCCCCAACCCTCCTGCCTCCTGTCCCTCCTGACCTCCTCATCATCCGCCCTTCCCTCCAGGCCTCGTCCCAGCCACCTCCTCCTGACGATCCGTAGTGTTCTCTCAGATACTGTTTTGCAAACAACCAAAAAAAACGCAACGGCCAAGGCTGCTCACGGACTTCTTGGAATAAATTTACGTTCCGCTTCATGTGATGCTCTCGTAGGGATGATTTGCTGGACACTGAACTTCGAGGGGCCCTGCCATGTCCATCCTTCAATGGGGTGGGCGTCCAGAGGAGTGAACCGACCCCGATGCAGTGGGCACGCTTTTCGCCAGCCAGGGCTCCCTCGGCCCTGGAGAAGGAGGAATTCGACGAGGAGGAGCGGACACACCTCGGCCGTAAGTAACCACTTTCCCCTTCCTTCCCAAGTCAGTTTCCTCCCGCTCCTCCCACCCACCCACCCACCCACCCCCTCCCCATCCCTCTCTCTCAAGCTCCCCCCTTTCCCCCCTCTCCCTGCTAGCAGCCTCATCTTTCTCTCCTGGCCTCCTCCTTCTCCTCCCTCCTCGGCTCCTCCTCCTCCTCTTCCTCCTCTTCCTCCTCCTCCTCCTCCTTGCTTCCCCCCCCCACAGTTCGCCCCCTTCCCTCCCCAAGCCTCAGGCCTGTCCTGGAGTGGTTCCGACCAGTCCGAGGCGGACCCAGCTGCGGCGGCGACGAAGGACGCCCCAGGGTACCCAAAAGCGCCCCCCCCCGCCCCCCCCAACCCCGAATATCGATGAGTTGTCTTGCGTTTCCTCCTACTCCTCCTACTCCTCCTACTCCTCTTCCTCCTCCTCCGTCTCCGTCACGGCCTCCTCTTCGAGATCGTTCATGCACTCATTGGGGGTAACGCGTGTTACCCGGGGAAGGGGGGGCGGCTGCGGGGAAACGGTAACGGCGGCCGCGGCGTGCAGCCGCCAGGGTGAGATCGAGCCACCAACACATCAATCGCACGTGTGCACCCCAATCTCCGTGTTCACGACAATGCCCCACGCATGCGAGCCAGTCCCCGTGTACACGATAATGCCCAATGCCTGCGTGCAGCACAACGCCGCCTGCGTACACCACAGTGCCTCCGTAAACCACAGCAGCCGCGCGCACCAAAGCACCACGTCGCCTGTGTACACAGCAGTGCCTGTGTACACTGCAGCAGCCGCGTGCGTGCAACAGCGCCTATGTACACCCACGGTGCCTGCGTGCACCAAAATACTTGTGTACACAACAGCGCCTCTGTATACCACAGCCCAGAGCAACCATGTGTACCACAGCGCCTATGCACACCACAAAGCCTCCGTGCACCACAACGCCTGTGTACTCCACAACGCCAAACGTGCCAGCGGGCACATCAGTAGTTTGCGAGCACGGCGTTGTACCTGTGAGCAACACAGTGCGCCAGGGGCCTGCCACGAACCAGGGGGTGGGACCAGAGGCCGCGAGGAACGCTTCAGCATGGAACGGTCAGGTCCCGAAGGGAACTGACCCTGGACCCCCGGGGCGCCAGCAGGACGCTGGGCGCTGGCCGTTCGGCAAGTCAGCGTCGTAACGCCGTGAGGGCTTCTGACACCGCGTGTATCGTTCGATCTTGACAAAAGGATCTGCGCCAACGGAAGCTCTCGGCCCGATAATCGAACCATGACTTCGCACCGCGGGCTCGTTCCTGAGGATCCCGCGGCCCGAAAGGCCTTCCCCCAGGCGCGTCGCACCCTTGATTGAACGCCCGCACTGGGGTCGCCGCCGCGCCTCCAGTGCGCCAGCAAACCGTCTGCGGCCGAAGGCAACTGTGGACGACGACGAGGGCCCGCAGCCCCCCCCACAGTGGGGCCGCCACGCTGTGAGTATGCTGTTGTCTAGCTCCATCCCCCTACCCACCTCCTACCCCCCGTGTAACCCCCCGGAATAAAGAAATAACGATTTTTTCCTCCTCCCCCTCCTGCTCCTGCTCCTGCTCCTGCTCCTGCTCCTGCTCCTGCTCCTGCTCCTGCTCCTGCTGGTGCTCCTGCTCCTGCTCCTGCTCCTGCTCCTGCTCCTCCTCCTCCTCCTCCTCCTCCTCCTCCTCCTCAGCTCCTCCCCTGGCCTCCCCCTCCGATGGTCCAGCTCCCTCCTCGCCCCCCATCCAGGATCGAGGCCGGGATCTGGCCAAAGCTTTTGCTGATATCGGAGCGACGAGCCAGCGGCCGCCTCCCTCACTAATTTAAAACCTTTCGCTTCGCGAATTGGCCATTCCATCCCACTCCGTAAAATAACGAACAATGGCATAAACATAAAACCTCAGAGGTCCGCGCAGATTTCTCGGATCGGCGCTGGACCCCCTCCTTAGCGCGGGAAGCGCGCCAGGGGCGGCGCCAGAGGCGCCGCCAGGGGGCCAGCGCCGATCCGAGAAATCCTCGCGGACCTCTGAGTTATTATTTTTGTTGCCGTCGCTCGTTCTCCTACTCCTGCCCCCCCCCTGCGCCCCCAACCAATCCCACCCCCGCAGGCTTTGAGCCCATAGGGGAAGGCCGAGGCCTGGTCGTGCAGCTGGGCGCAACTCCGCTGCAGCTCGCGCACGTCCTCCATCACCTCCCGGGGGGGGCCCGGCCAGGCTCGGTGCATGCGTCGAGGAGGAGGAGGAGAAGGGAAAAGGAGGAGGAGGAGGAGAAGGAGGAGAAGGAGGAGGAGGAGGAGAAGGAAGACGATGAGGAGGAGGAGAAGGAGAAGGAGGAGGGGGATGAGGGAGGAGGAGGAGGAGGAGGAGGAGGAGGAGGAGGAGGAGGAGGAGTGGGAGGAGGAGGAGAGGGGAGGAGGGGGAGGGGAGGGGGGGGGGGAGGGGGACAGTAGGTCGTGCGTCCGCGTCATATCTGACATCCTACCCCTCACTCCCATCCCTTACCATGGCGTAGATTCCCTCTCTACCCGCACAGTCGGATGTCGAGCAGGGCAATGATCCCGAAAGGGTACGCGATGCTTTGTGGAGCACGGCATGGCATGGCGTAGAAGAGCACCGCAAAGCGTAGTATGTCACAGCATGGCGTGGCGTGGCGTAGTGAAGGATTGCATCACAAAGCTTTGCAACGGAAAGCATGGCATCGCACAGCGGCCCCGAACATGACATTGCATAGCATGGCGTTGAAGATCGAAGCGTAGCATGGCATAGCACGACGTGGCACTTAAGCACTGCATATCACAGCTTCAGCTGAAGGCATGGCATCGCGCAGCGGAACGCAACCTAGCATTGCATTGCATGCCGTGGCATGGCACGGGAAAGGACGCCAGCGCTGCAGCGGGAGCACGAGTCGGAACGAGCGGAAGCGCGGAATGAGGCCAGCGCTGCAGCGGGAGCACGATTCGGAACGAGCGGAAGCACGGAAATGAGGCCAGCGCTGCAGCGGGAGCACGATTCGGAACGAGCGGGGCCGGAAAATGAGGCCGGCGCCTCAGCGAGAGCAGCATTTTGAAAACAAATGCCGGCGAAAACCCAACTCCGGGGAATACCTGCGTAAAAAAGCAACGCGCGGGGGGGGGGGGGGGGGTCCGAACACTCCCAGCCCGTCATCAGGGGAAGGAAGAGAGTAGTTTTTAATTTGCTCGCGGGTGATCGTCTGCCGAACACTCCTGCCCGTGGCGCCGAAACGACGAGCGATGGGCCCGAAGGAAGGGCCGAAAGAGACGAGGGACGGACCCCAGGAACCCGGACAAAGCCGAGCGAGGGACCCGACCGAACGCACAGGGACAACGAAAACTCGAGGGCCCGAAACACAGTGCAACGAGTTTTAACTGAATTAACACTCCTTAAATCAAGCGGGGCGGTACTAGAGAGAGCTCTCAAGACAGCCTCCGCAACTCATCCACCACCCTCTCAGACAGCCCGCTTCCCGCGGTTGACACGTAGAGCGGGCCGAACAAGATGGTCATCATCGTCTGGTGGCCGGAACGAGTTCGGCGGGAAGTGGAACGGCGTTGCCTGAGCAGCGTGTGCTCTGAGCCAGGCGCGCGCCGCGGCACCCCGAGCATTCCGCCAATCAGCGCCAGGAACGACAGCGCGAGGTCGACGATGCGCACGAACAGCTTGACCAGGTGCTCTGAGCCAGACGTGCGCGACGGCATCACGAGCACTCCACCAAGCAGCACCAGGAACAACGACGTGAGTAGAAGGGCCAGACTCGGCCGTCGCAGCCTCCTTCTGGAAGTCGACGTCGAGACGAAAGCGTACAGGTACAGCAGGCACAGCTTGAAGACCAGCAGGCTCTCGATGAGGAAAGAGTTTCTCAGGATCTCGTGGGCCAGCAGGCTCTCGAAGACCAGCAGGCTCACGAAGATCAGCAGGCCCTCGATGAGGAGGAACATCGTGTAGACCAGCAGGCTCTCGATGAGCAGCAGGAACATCACGAAGACCAGCGGGGTCTCCACGAAAGTTAGGCTCCAGACCAGCAGGCGCTCGAAGTCCAGCAGGCTCTCGATGGCCAGCAGGCTCTCGAGGAGCAGGAACATCAGGAGCGTCACCATGATGTAAATCAGGAAAGTCGCCGCAGCGGCTCGCATCTGTGGCTGGCGGCGCCCAGCAACCAGGAGCGAGCTCTGCATTCACATGAACAGGAAGTCGGGGCTGGAAGGGATCGGCCTCGGCGTTGAGCGGAAAGGCCATCATCTCCAGCGTCGACTCGAGGTCAACGGCCCGAACAGCCGCAGGCAACGGCGGCATCCCGCTCGCGCATGGCGGCGGGGCGTGGCGGCACCAGTTGCCAGTCTCCAGGGCGTCAACGGTATCCTGGAGCTCCGCGTCGTCGAGCCCCGCCAGGCGGGCCGCCGCGATCGCGGCACCCAGCGTGGGAATGTGGCCGCCCAGGCGATCTCCAAGGCGCCAGTGGGCGTCGAGGGCGACACGGAGGCCACGCAACCGGTAGGACATAGCGGCAGCCCTCGTCTGCCCGAGCTGCGCCCTCCGTTCGCGTCGAAGACGCCGAGCCAGGGTCCGAGCACTCGCCGCAGCCCAGGCTTCGCCGCCTGCAGTGACAGCACGAGACATTGCGGCCGCTTGCGCGCATGCGCCTGGAGCAGGCGCGCTGGCGAGGGCCTCCCGAAGCGCGGCTCGCTCGAGCCAAAATGGCTACGGAGGGGGAGAGTAGTATTCATATTGAGTAATTGCGGAGGAGGAGGAGGAGGGGGAGAAGGAGAAGGAGGAGGAGGAGGAAGAGGAGCAGGAGGAGGAGGAGGAGGAGGAGGAGGAGGGGGGAAGAAGAGGAGGAGGATGGGGGCACGAGGAGGAGGAGGAGGGGAGGAGAGAAGGAGAAGGAGGAGGAGGAGGTGGAGGAGGAGGTGGAGGAGGAGGAGGGGGGAAGCGGGGGAGGAAGAGGAGGAGGAGGAGAGGAGGAGGAGGAGGAGGAGGGGGGGGAGGAGAGGAGGGGGGAGGAGGAGTGGAGGAGGAGGAGGAGGAGGAGGAGGAGGAGGAGGAGGGGCAGGAGGAGGAGGAGAAGGGGATGGAGGAGGAGGGAGGAGGAGGAGAAGGAGGACGAGGAGGGAGCGAGGTGGAGGAGGAGCGAGGGGGCAGGAGGGGGGGAGGAGGAGGAGGGGGAGAGGCAGGAGGTAGGAGGAGGATGGAGGAGGAGGTGGAGGAGGAGGAGGAGGAGGAGGGGGAGGAGGAGTGCACGGCCCCAGAGGACGACCGACGACGGCGGACGACACGTCACCTCCTCAAGGCAGCAACGGTGGCAGGCGGGGCCCGCCTGCGGAGCTGGATGAGGCGGGCGTTGGCCAGCTTCTCCAAACGCTCTCTCTCGCGGGGCTCTGAAACACGGGGCCACCATTTAGCTTCATGGTAGCACGTGTAGCACGAATCAATATACAAGGCGACACTGATGAGTTGAGAAAGACAGAGGAGGGGGAGGAGGAGGAGGAGGAGGAGGACGCAGGACGCAGCATCGAGCGAGGAACCGTCCGGAACGGGACCCCGACGACTCAGAAGAGCATGAAGCGGCACCCGCAGAAGTCGAGCGCCATGCGGCGGACGGGGGGGAGGGGCGGCGGGCCTGCTCGCTACGCGGCGAGCCCCCCTCCCAACCCCCCACTGCCACCCCCGCCCGCCCCGGAGTTCTCCTCGAAGAGGGCCGCGACGCGGTACAGCAAGTCCCGCTCGTCGTCAGAGAGCTCCGAGGCGCGGGCCTCCGCCTCCGTGAAGAGGCCGGGCAGGCTGCCAGGCGCCACGCCGAGCCGCAAGGCCAGGGCCTTGGTAGCAGCAGCAATCTCCAGCGGCGACCGAGCCGCACCAGGAGGCCGCCCACCGCCAGGCGCCACAGGGGCCGCCGCTTGCCGCGGGGGCAGCGCGTCGGCCCACGAGTCGTCCAGCAGGGGCGAAGAAGGCGCCGCGGGCCCGCCCGCCACCGCCGCTGCCGCCGCCGCGTCCTCCTTGGCCTCCATCGCGTCGTCGCTGCCGCCAGCAGGGCCGCGCGCGCCGCCGCGCCCGCGTCGCCGTGGGCGCCGCCGAGGGCGGGCCACAGGCGGGGCGGCAGCAGGCTCGGGCGGCGGCGGCGCCGCCAGGACAGCGACAGCCGAGCGAATGAGGCCCTCGGCGGCGCGGAGGAGGCGAGCCGCCTCACGGAATTCCGCGCCGCCCGCAAGCCCAGCGGCCGCGTGCGCCGCGAGGAGCGCCCCGCGGGCGGCCTCGAGCGGCGCGGCGGCGCGAGCACGCTGCGTCGGCGGCATCAGGATCGACGCGGGAGGCGCGGGCGCGACCCTGCGGGACGAAGCTTAAGCCAAAACCAACTAGGAGGAGGAGGAGGAGGAGGAGGAGGAGGAGGAGGAGGAGGAGGAGGAAGGATGAGGAGGGGAGGAGGAGGAGGAGAGGAGGAGAGGAGGAGGAGGGAGAGGAGAGGAGGAGGAGGAGGAGGAGGATGAGGAGGAGGAGGAGGGAATGAGGCGAAGGAAGAGAAGTATGGGGAGGATGGGGGAGGAGGAGAGGAAGGAGAGGAGGAGAGGAGGAGGAGTAGAGGAGGAGGAGGAGGAGGAGGGGCAGGAGGAGGAGGAATGAGGAGGAGGAGGAGGAGGAGGAGGAGGAAGGAGAAGGAGGAGGAGAGGAGGAGGAGGAGAGATGAAGGAGGGGGAGGGGGAAGGGAGGAGGAGGAGGAGGAGGAGGAGGAGGAGGAGAGGAGGAGGAGAGGAGTCAGGCGACAGGCGGGGAGGATAGGGGGAGGAGAGGAGGAGTAGAGAATGAGGAGGGGAGGAGAGCAGGAGGAGGACGACGAGGAGAGAGAAGGAGGAGGAGGGGAGGAGGAGTAGGAGGAGGGGGAGGATGAGGATGAGGAGGATGTAGGGGAGGAGGAGGAGGAGGAGGGGAGGAGGAGGAGGAGGAGGAGGAGGAGGAGGGGGAGGAGGAGGAGGGAGGAGGAGGCAGAGGAGGAGGAGGGGAGGAGGAGGAGGACGAGGAGGAGGAGAGTAGGAGGAGAGGAGGAGTGAGGAGGAGGGGAGGAGGAGGAGGAGGGAGGATGATAGGAGAGGAGGAGTGGAGGAGGAGGAGAGTGAGAAGAGAAAGGAGGATGAGGAGGGAAGGAGGAGGAGGAGAGGAGGGGCATGAGGAGAAGGAGGGGGAGATAGGACGAGGAGGATGAGGAGGAGGGATGAGAACGACGGGGAGGAAGGAGGAGGAGCCGAAGGAGGAGGAGGAGGAGAGGAGGAGGAGGAGGAGAGGAGGAAGAGGATGAGGAGGAGGAGGAGAGGGGAGGGGGAGGATGAGAGGAGTTGGAGGAGGAGGAGGAGGAGGAGGAGAGGAGGAGGAGGAGGAGGATAAAGAAGGATGGGACATATCGAGGATCGAGGCCCCATGCCCCGGCGCGTTTAGGGCCCCTGTTCAGCCCCCTGGTGACCCCATACCCCTACATCTCCTCCCCCAAGCCCCTCCTCTGGAGACACCAAAAGGTATCGACAGCGCACCTCCCCAGACCTCTCCCAGGGTGCGTTCTGACCAGGATTTCGAGGCGGATCCAGCGGTGTCGACGAGGGCCGCCCAGGAGGCACACAAAGGGGAAAGCCAGGGAAGGGCAGAGAGATGGGTACCTTTTCCTCCTCTGATCCTTGTCCTTCCCACTCCTCCTCCTCCTCCTCCTCCTCCTCCTTCTCCTCCTCCTCCATTATCTTACCCCTCCCGCAGCCTAACCCCAGCCAGCGCCCACGACGGCAGCCCCGAAACGTCCTCGGGCGGCGTCTCTGGCCGAACACCCTCAACACAAACGAGGCAGCCTGCCTCTGCGTAACACCATATACCATACAATCCCCTTGATACAAGCAGGGCTTGCGCGTTGTCTCGATTGTGGCGGCTCCTGCTTCTGCACCTCCTCCTGCGGCGCAAGACTCGTGGAACGAGGAGGGGGGGAGAAGGAGGAGGACGACGACGACCACGAACACAACGAAAAGAGGAATAGGACGGATGAAGAGCGTGAGACCAGCCAGGCAATCACAAGATGAGGCTGAGGATGGCCAGGAGGAGGGGAAGGAGGAAGATGAGGAACAGGGAGAGGAGGACGAGGAGGAACCGTGGAGGGATGATGACGAACCGAAGGGGAGAACGGAACCGAAGGAGGAGGAGGAGGAGGAGGAGAAGGAGGAGGAGGAGGAGGAGGAGGAGGAGAGGAGGAGGAGGAGGAGGAGGAGGAGGAGGAGGAGGAGAGGAGGAGGGAGACGAGGACGAGGAGGAGGAGGAGGAGGAGGAGGAGGAGAGGAGGAGGAGGAGGGAGGAGGAGGAGGAGGAGAGAGGAGGGGGAGGAGGAGGAGGAGGAGGAGGAGGAGGAGGAGGGGAGGAGGAGGGGAGGAGGAGGAGGAGGAGGAGGAGGAGGAGGAGGAGTGGCCTCCGTGGGCCGACGGCCACGACGCGGCCGAGAGCGCGGCGCCGCGCGCGCGCGGGAGGCCCGAGGCCGCGGCGGGGAGGCGGCGGCGGCCGACGAAGCCGCCCAGGGCTGCCGCGGCCGCCCCCTCGGGCGGGGACTGTCTCTGCTGCGCCGCGCGGGGGGCCTGCTGGGCGCGCGCGCGCGGCGGCGCCCGCCGTGGCGGGGCCCCTCGCGCGGGCGCCGAGGCGCCTCGCGCGGAGCGCGGGGTGCCCCTCGCGCGAAGCGAGGGCCTCGGGCCGCGGGGGGGGCGAAAACTGGGGCGGGCGGCGGGCGCGGTGCGAGAGCGGCGGGCTTCCGCCGACGGGGGGCGCCTGTCCCAGGATGGGCCGGCGACCCCGACGGGTGCGGCTTGCAGAGGGCGCGGTTTGCAGCCCGCGCCTGGGCGGGCGAGGACCTCGGCAGAGGTCCCTGCCGCGCCCCGACGAGGGCGCATCAGGCTTCTGGCTCTCAACGTGGTGACCTCTTGCGTGAGCCCCAACGGCGCCGATCGGAAACCACACCCCGGCGTACAGTCAACCCGTATCATGAGGACGCACGGTTTTCGAACGAGGTTGGTCAGCAAAAGTCGCTAAGGATCGGCCGAAGGGGCAAGGATGTAAGGGCAATCACCCTTGGGAAGGTTGCTCATCCTTACTATGCGGGTCGACTGTAGCCACACCCGTTGCAGTCGCCGAGTGGAGGGACGCCACCTGTGCACACCCACACCGTTCCTGGCCAGGAACCAGGCTTGGTGGTCTACGCCCTCCGGGCCAGATCCGGGGCCCAAGGACCGCCCTGGCCAGGAAGGCGTATGCGCCGACCCTGGGCCAGGACACCAATCCTGGACCGAGCATGCGCAGAACACATCTACCTACACACCACCACCGTGCCAGGCCAGGGCCATCCTGGCCCTGGCCTGGTGTGTATATATATATATACCTATACGACCACCCTTCGGGTGATAAGGAGGTTCGGGGGGGGGAACCAAGGTCTAACTCGATCGGTCTCACTATCGATCTCAGTATCGATCTCACTATCGGTCTCGATCGATCGATCTCACTCGATCGATCTCACAATCGATATCACTCGATCTATCTCATTCGATCGATCTCACAATTGATATCACAATCGATCTCACAAACGATCACACAATCGATCTCGCATTCGGTCTCAATATCGATCTCACCATCGATATCACAATCGCTCTGACAATCAACGTCATCATCATCATCATCATCAACATCATCAACATCATCAACATCAGCATCGTCACCAACATCGTCATCATCATGAGGGCACCGTCATCACCATCATCATAAACATCATCATCAACGTCAGCATCATCATCGGGACAACATCATCATCATCATCACCATCACCATCATCATCTCATCATCAACATCATCATCATCATCACCGAGACACAGTCATCGTCATCATCATCAGCATCATCGGAATCATCATCATAATCGGGGCACCATCATGATCGCCATCGTTCTCATCATCAACATTATCATCAACATCGTCATCATCCTCGGGACACCAGCATCATCATGATCATCGCATCATCATCATCGACATCATCATCATCATCATCAACAAAATCATCATCATCATCATCATCATCATCATCATCATCATCATCATCATTGGGGCACCATCATCACCATGAGCAACATCATCATCATCATCATCATCATCATCATCGTCATTATCATTATAATCATCATCGGGACACCATCAGCACCACCATCATCAACAAAACCATCATCAGCATCATCAGCATCATCATCGGGACACCATAATCATCAATATCATCATCATCAACATCATTATCGCCGGGACACCATTTCGATCAACATCATCATCACCAACATCATCGGAATCATCATCATCATCATCATCATCATCATCATCGGGACATCATCATCGTCATCATCATCAACATAATCATCATGAGCATCATCATCCTCATCATCGGGACACTATCATGATCATCGACACCATCATCAACATCATCATCATCATCTTCATCGGGATACCATCATCATCATCTCATCTCATCTCATCATCATCATCATATCATCATCATCATATCATCAACATCATCATCATCATCATCATCATCATCATCGCGGGACACCGCGGGACACCGGCGGGACACCGCGGGACACCACGGGACACCAGCGGGACACCGGCGGAACACCACGGGCCCCCGGCCGCCCGGAAGGGAGTCATTTGGTCTGGCCGCGCCTCGGCCACACGGGACACCAGCGGGACACCGGCGGGACACCGCGGGCCCCCGGCCGCCCGGAAGGGAGTCATTTGGTCCGGCCGCGCCTCAGCCACAGGAGACTTTCTCTCGCCCGCCCACGCAGCTTCGCCTCGCCCGCCGCACGGCACGCACGAACACGAAACCGAAATCGATTTCCCGGTAGGGGGGCTCTCCGTTCCACTTCGATCTCACCCCCTCACCTCCGATATATATATATATATATATATATTATATATATATATATATATGGTCGCCCCCTTTCAAGATCATACATCTCACCTTGAATCGCATTCATCCCTATCTCTCCTCCTCATCCGTTCCTCCTCTTCCTCTTTCTCGCTTCCTTCTCTTGCTCCTTTCCCATTCCTCCTTCTCCAAACACAATTCCTCCTCCTCCTCGCTCATCATCCTTCTCCTCCTTCTCCTTTCCGTTTCCTCCTCCCTGTAGCAATGCAAAACCAAGAATACACAGTGTTTGGCGCCCTCGGTGCAAGGAAACGCTGTGTATGTTTGGAATGTCTCGCTATTTCTGGGTTTCGAATCACATAGAACACTGTGTATGTTTGCTTTTTTTTTAGGGGGGGGAAGCTCGAGTGCTCCCCGCGGCCTCCCCCCCAACACCTCCTCCTCCTCGCCCATCATCCTTCTCCTCCTCCTCCTCCTCCTCCTCCTCCTCCTCCTCCTTTCTGTTTCCTCCTTTCTGTAGCAACGGTGGAGGAGGTGCTGGGGGGGAGGCCGCGGGTAGCACTCGAGCTTCCAAAAGCCCCAAACATCAAAACAAACACACATACACAGTGTTTTCTTTCATCCTAGACCAAAATAACAAGAAAACAAACAACAACCATACACAGCGTTTCCTTGCACAGAGGGCGCCAACCACTGTGTATGCTTGGTTCTCTTGTTCTGCAACAGGGAGGAGGAAAGGAAAGGAAAGGAGAAGGAGGGGGAAAGAGGAAGGGGGAGAATGACCAGGTGCTGGGGGGGAGGCCACGGGGAGCACTCGAGCTTCCAATTTTTTATATAAAAAACAATGGTTCTTTTCATCCTAAACCAAAGAAATAAAACAACCAAACATACACAGTTGTCCTTGCACCCAGGGCGCCAAACACTGTGTATTCTTGGTTTTGCGTTGCTACAGAGAGGAGGAAACGAACAGGAGGAGGCCGATGATGATGATGATGAGGAGGAGGAGGAGGAGGAGGAGCTTAGTTTGGAGGTGGAGGAGAGGGAAAGGAGAGGAGGAGAGAGGAGGGGGGAGGAGGACGAAGGATGAGGGTTGAGGAGGAGAGAAGCGAGAAAGAGGGAGCAGGAGGAAGAGGTGATGTGATGTATGATCGTGGAGGGGGGGCAACCTGAATATGTGTATATATATATATGGATTCCATATATATATATATACAATCCGGGCGGAACGCGAAAGGGGTCCCCCCCAAAAAAACGGACTCCGGGGATCTGGGGTTTGGGGACCCTCTGGACGGGCCTCGAAGCGGCCCCCCGGGCCTCGCAGGGCGTTTTGCCAAGCCTTCCCAGCACACCTAAGGCGATCAGGGGGGTCATCGGAGACGTCCCAGAGACCCCCAAGACAGCACAAGAGCGCTCCAAGAGTGACCGACGTGACCTCCAGATGGCCCAAGAGGCCTCCAGGACGGTCCCAAAGAGGCCTCCAAGAGCAGTCCCAAGAAGGCCCCAAGAGGCAAAAATCATTGATTTTCTGTTGGCTTTTGGTGAATTTGGGGGGTTCTCCTCTTTTCGGCTTCCCGACGCTCCAAGACGGCGGTCTTCTGGGCGTCCGAAGCCGCCTGGGAGGTTCCAAAATCGCTCCACAACCATCCGAAAGGGCTTCCGGGCAGTCCAAGAGAGCCCCAAAACGGCACAACACGGGTCCAAGATGGCCCTCAGAGAGCCCCATGGCGGCCCAAGATGGCCCCAAGACACCCTCCGAAACATTCCAAATCGTGACCCAGTCGTTCAGGGAGACAGCGGTTGGAGGCAGGGTGGCCCGAGGAAGCCCCCAGAGGCCCCCAGAACACGCCCAGGAGGCCTCCAGAAGGCCTTAAGAAAGCCTGAAACAACTTTTGTGAGGCCCCCAGAAGCTCTCCAAGGAGGAGCTTCCGCTAAAAATAGCTGCGGAGGATGGGGAGAATGCGCAGGGTATGGCGAAAATGAATAACAAGAAGCATGGAGGAAGGATAACGAATAACATTATTATAGCGACGATGCCAGAAAAGGCAAAAAGGAAGTATCGCTAAATTGTCGGCTTGATCTTCCTGCTATTTCGCCTGCACACCAAACTTCAAGGACCAAGGTGCATGGCGCGAAGCGCCAATGCAGTCTTATACATATGTGTGTACGTCCCCCTAGACGAGGCCAGGAGTGTTTCTACACCATCCTGGGGCCCAGGATGATCCTGGCCTGGCACGGTGGTGGTGTGTAGATGCCTGCGTCGGAGAGGAACGGCCTGGCCAGGCTCAGTGCAGGTGCACAGGACGATTCGCAGGGCCATGCCCCCGCGTGCCGCCGCAGGGGGTAAAAAAAACCCTGCCCCCGCGGCAGAAGACCCCGAACAGCTTCACGGTGCGGCGGAGACCACCCGAGAGCACGGGAGAGAACGGCGCCCCACCGATCGCAGAGCACGGCAGCTCCGCACTCGGCTTCGAAGGAGCACTGTGCAGGACACAACTTGAAATGTTCCTAGAACCCCAAATAATGTTCGAATAACGAAACAATGTTCTTAGAACATAAACGATGTGATAAAACAAAACAATCTCAACCAGAAATGTTCTAAGAACACTTCCTGGAAACCACAACAGGTTCTTGGAACATGGTTTGGTAGGGCTATAGGCACGCTGGGACGCTTCGCCACTGCTTGAACAACAGAGCTGTTCATTGAACCTTCCAGCCGGCGCTGGGACAGGCGGCGCCCCGGTGGCGGCACGGCCCGCTCAGGAAACAGAGCCCCGCTCCTGCCCGGCACAGGTCGCCCGGCAGGCTCCCGCCGCGATGGGCGCCGGCACGGGTCTGTGACTCCGCGCGGCTCGTTGGACTCGGAGCGCTCGCGGCTTTCCGACAGCGCAGACCGGTCGATGTCGGCCAACTCCGGGGTGCGTTCAACCCTGAACGCCCGCGCCAGGGTCGCCGCCGCGTCCACGCGGCGCGAGCCTACCGTCCCGGTCACCCTGCTGGAGCCACTCGTGCCTCGCTTGCGGCACTTGCGCCCCCATGAATTACGCACACCCCACGAGCCCGTGGAGGCCATGCCGCACCAAGGACGTCCCATTGAGCACCGTATCCTCCTAGACCGGCCCAAGCCAGCCAGACCCACCAAGAGACCTAGCGTGATCGGACTCCTTGGGAACGTGTGAATGACCAAGGTCTGCAAGGCAATCCAAACCCACCCCACATCATCCGTTACTGGTCGCAACCGAGATTCGACCTCCCGTCGCGAATTCCAGTAACGAGCGAGCCGTCGACGTCTTCGAAACCCTCGGTGGGACCCCGATGCGCCGTCTCTTCGTCACCGAAATTCGACCCCCTTTAGTCGCGACCGAAACTTGGCGCGACCGAGATCTTATGTGTATTATGTGTGCGAGAATGATTCTAAGACAGATCCCGCCTCATTATCGCCGATGGGTGTCTGTTAGAGTCCCTATTGTCGCCTATTTCTGCCTCGTTATTGGCCCCTATTAGCGCCCGTTGGCGCCTTCAAGTGTCTATGAGCGCCTACTGGCGACCACTGCTAAGCAATGATAAACATTCATAGCCGAAGAAAACAATAGCTCATGCCTAAAATGACTCTCACGCATAACACACCTAAGACATCCGCTGCCAACAAAGTTCCTGGTCGCGGATGATGTGCCCCTGCGCGCTGACCAAGGGCAGGCCTTCGAAAAGAGGACCCGGACCCCCGACGCCATGCTTTCGTCACCACGTCGACGCCCCCGGAGGTCTCGACCCACTCCTCACGACCGGCTTCCCATCCCGAGCCGTTTCTTGACGGCCCCGAGGCCTGGCAGGGCCCCGAGAGGCCGACGACTATCACAATCCTCACGCTGGATGTCTGGGCCTGGCCAGGTTCAGCCTGGCCGAGCTTCGCCTGGCCGAGCCTTTCCCCGTGCCTATGGGATCCGAGGGAGGAGGCCCGGTCAGGGCCCTGCGAGGCCAAAAGCTAAATGAACCACCTCCGTCTTGATTGCTTCGACCCGCCTAAGCCATTGGTATACTATACTCAAGAGCCCTGGGGTGCGGGCAAAATTCCTGGTCGTGGGTCTGGGCGCTGGAATCTGATTGGGGCGTACCTTCCGTATACTTTGAAAGTGGCCCCGGGCGCTGGAATCTGATTGGGGCGGGGGAGGGTGTGGCATACACCAAAAAGTCTGGCCCCTTCGAGACGCTGGATGCTGCCTGACCAGGAGCGGGCCTCCGAGCAGAGGTCGGTGGCCCCCCAGAGGGGCCCCCGCCGGACGTCGGCGCCGCCCCCCCGCGTCACGCCGCCGCCGCCGCGCCCTCGGCCGCCTCCGGCGCGCCCTCGGCCGCCTCCAGTGCGCCCTCGGCCGCCTGCGCCTGCGCAGGAGCCTGTCTTGCTTTAGGCTCAGGCCAGTTTAAGGACTTGCATGGCGTTCGCCCCCCCTGCCCCCCCCCCTCCCTTCGCCCCTCTTCAATCGAACACAAGCGTGCAAGCGCCCGTCGACTTGCGTGACTTCCGCACGTCGAGTTGTGTTGCGGCCTGCGACAGATGCAGCCCCCCCCCGTCCATGCAAGTAAACATGCCAGAGTCTAGAAACAACAGGCTCCAAGGCGAAGCCATGGCAGGACAAATTCGGATGGCTTGCCGTCACTCCGACGTCCATTCCCCGTGCATTGTTCGATTTCGCGCGTTTATTTTTCGCACGAAGATCCTACATGCCCCTTCGATGGTCCTCGCCGATCGAGAACAAAAAACATGCGTCCGAGCGATGCCAAGATGAGGAGCAATCGGGAATATCTGAGACCTGACCGCTCTGGAGGACGTCTCGGGCGCCGCGGCCTTCCCAGAGCGTTCCGGAAGGCTCATGAGAGCCTTCCGCAACGCGCTGGAGGGGATTTACCTGTGTGCTATAGCCCCGCCCGACTGCGGCGGAAGCGGAAGACTCCGAGGGCCACAGCCAAGCCCGGCCAGGCTGACCTCGGCTGGGCTGACCTCGGCTGCGCCGAACTCGGCCGGGCTGAGCTCGGCCGGGCTGCACTCGGCCGGGCTGAGCTCGGCCAGGCTGATCTCGGCCAGACCGACCTCGGCCGCGCGCCGAGCTCGGCCGGGCGGAACTCCGCCCGGGCCGAGCTCAGCCCCCCGGCATCCGGCGCCTCCGCTCCTGCGAGGCACGGGCCCCCCGACCTCTCGACCACCTCCCTGTACATGCCCAGACCCCCGACGTCATGATTGTTTCATGACGCGACCCCCAGAGGTCCGGACCTATTCGCCGGGACCGGTTTTTCATCCTGAGTCGTTTTTGACGGTTCCGAAGGCCAGTAAGGGCCCCCAGAGGCGAAAAATATGGAAAAACCTTCCGTCGTGATTTTTTCATGACTCGAGGGGGTCTGGGTGGAACCACTGTTTGTCCACCCCGAGCCATGCTCCGACGGCCCCGAGGCCCGGCAAGTCAGGGCCCCGGGAGGCCGAAGACTGCCCGTCGGGGCCTGGCCGAGTTCAGCATGCGGCCTCACGCTGGACGTCGGGGCCCGGCCGAGCTCCGCCTCGCCGGGCTGCGCCCGGCCGACGCTGTCCCCCGCCAACGCCGAGCCGAGCCCGACCCCGGGGGCCGAGGGCGCGGGCCTCGGGCATCCTCCCGAGACCTCCTCTCGCTGTGGGAAGATCCCCAGGGATCCTGGCGTCGCACTTCTTTTTCTTTGAGCCGGGCGTCTCCGCCCCCGGGACCCTCACGGATCCATCCAGGCCCGCAGAATGCTGCAGAGGGATGGGGCCCCTGGGGCTCTGGTGGTGGTTGCTTCGCGGTGTTGCAATTTTCCCGCGTCGTCGGATCTCAGGGTCGCGACGGGCTTGATTCCCACCCGACAGGTTGGGGCTGTCAGAGCGCAATGTTTTATTCGCGGCCGTAACGGGCGTTAGGGGGGAGGGGGGGCGGACGGGAGGGGGCATAGTGTAGCCCCCACCCCCCCAGACTGTGGTGCCAGACGCACTGCGGTAGTGCCGGGGGCGCTCTGAGGGGGGGATCGTTACCTTAGGAGGGGCGAGGGTAGAGGGTATATCGCGCGTTATGGCCAAGAGGGTAAAACAACTGTTAGATACAAAGAGAGGGAAGAAAGGCCCCGACCCGCCTCGCACCCGCTGCATAATTACCGCGGCCGCCAGGCCGCAGGGTGTGTGGGTGCTCCGTGGGTGTCCCGCCCCGTGCCTTCGACGAGATGACGACTGCATACCGCGGTCGCCAAACCCTGACGCGATTCCCAAGAAGTGAACCCAGAGAAAGGGACTCCTGAGACCGCGGCGTTGCATTTGAGGGTTCGAAGTGCGAGTGAAAGCGTCATGCGACGACCTTGCGGGCGAAGCCGAGTGGCCTTGAGACATCGGCATCGCCCGTCTCAAAAGTTACTTTCCCTGGGGGCCCCTGGGGGACCACATGAAGCCTAAAGTGTGACGGTGCCCTCTGGGCAATTATCCCGCCTCGCGCTTTTGGGTGGGGATCGCTCGACGTTCTCTACGTTGTCGACAATTTGCAGCCTCCAGGGGCCCTCGCTGGGACCTGGAATCGCCGAAAAATTGCCCAGGATGAAAAAGGTGGTCCCATGTGAAGATGTCGAGGCCTGTGGGGATCAAAACAAAACACACATTGCGTTGGAATCCTTTGCCACATCGGCAGCCGCTTTCCTCCACTAATCTCCGCCCCCCGTTGGACCCTGAGATCCGCGCGTCGCAACTTCTTCACCACGGGCGCTTCCGCTTGGAATCAGGCCCCGCGGAACCCTCACCGGTCGGCCTGGCATGAGGTCGAGGGCTCCGGGGTGATTCGCCACGATACTGCATTTTTTCGCGACGCCAGATCTCAGGGGAAGCCAACATCGGGCCCGGGGCCCATCATGCAACTGCTGCGGGCGAACCAGCGGTAACCCCCGTCCATGGAGCTCCACGGCCCCATGTCATGGAACAACGCGTGACGTCGGATGCGTGGAACTCGGCAACCGACAGTGCCGGGGCTGGTGTCCACAAAGATCTGACCCAGAAGCATGCCCCGTGGAGACTCAGCGTTGACAAATGCGTTCCCTCTCCCGACCGCCTCCCCCTCCAGCATCCCCTGCATCTTGGCACGGATCTCTGCGAAGACCTCTGGCCTCTCCTCCTTCATCTCGTTCAGCTCCCTGCCGAGCTCGGCGAAGTCTATGTCGGAGCCATCCGCCGCCTGGGCCTTGGGCTCCAGAGCCTCGTCCGCCGAGGGGGCCAACCAGAGACCTTCGCTCAATTTCATTGGCTCTTTAGGCTTCGGTATGCCTGCTCGGTCTTTTTCGGTGGGCCTCTCCTGCTCCTTGAAGATCCCTTCTCCACTCTGGACCTTCTTGCTCCCAGACAGAAACCCCTTCATCTTCTTGTCGGCGTCCCGGCACTCTGCCGTCAGCTCCAGCTCGAGGATCTTCACGGCCTGCTGGATAGCCTTGTCGTCGGGGACCAACTTCAGCGCCTTCCTCAAATCCTTCAGAGCCTCCTCGCTGTTGCTGTGGCCGTCTCGCTGGGCCTGTGCTCTCCGGAACAAGGCCTTGGCCTTCTTGTCCGGGCTCAGCACGTCCTCCTTGGGGTCTGGCGGGTCCTTGTCGCCCTGCATGGCCCGCGTCGCTGTGTTTATGGCATGGGTCCACTGGGCGGTCTTCAAGAAACACAGGGACAGATTCAGGTAGGCAGCCGCCCGCAGCTGCCGCACATTGTCGCGACCGGCGTCGTTCCACAGGACGTCCGTCTCATTGTCCAGCGAGCGCGTCTGCATGATCAGCTCGGAGTATTTGCCGATGGCCGCCCCGTAGTCGCCCTCTTTCACAAACTTGTTTCCGCTCTCCCTATTCTCCATGGCGAGCTTGTACAAGATATCATCGGCAACTGGATGCGGGCCAGGCTTCACGTCCCCAGAAGTATCTAGGCCTCCCGTCGATGTCAACGGGTGCATTTGAAAACCTAGCTGATACCCACCTCCGGAAGGAGCTGGCTCGCTCGCATCTCCGGCCATCGTCCTCGGTTAAAAAGTTCGAGTGTCCTGGTGATCTGCCAGGCGCACCAAAACTCGACCGCTGGGATTACGCACTGCCTCCACGGCCTGAGCCAAAACGGCTCCTGCACGAAGCAGGAAGCGAGACGGATAGCATGAAGAGGAGGCCTGGAGGAAGAGACATGTGTCGCCGCGCCGTTTTTTTCTCGACGCGCCCAATGGCAAACAGCAAACCGCGTGGGACATCCTCACTAAAATGGCTATCTTGACGATTCGAACTCGGTTCGAAACAATAGAATCTGGTTCGAAACAAAAGTAAAGCGAGCGTTTCGCGTCCGCGGCAAACCCACGGCGAACCCACCAGATGAGAAGCGGCGCTTGCCCTGGTGGCCGCGGCGTCCTCCCCAAGACGGAATGCCGCGCGTCGGAACAAATGGCGCGGCGACAGATATCGACTACGGACAAGTTCTGTATCGCCATAGCCTTTCAAAAGTCCACGCGGAATTTTGGGGTCTGCGCTGGATCCCCCTGGCGGCGCCTCCAGCGCCAGAGCGCGTCAGGGAGGGGGCTCCAGCGCCGATCCAAGAAACCTACGCGGGATGCACAAAAACATCCAACAAACACGAAGAACATGAGAGCACCCTCCCCGAACCGGCCTCGATCCTCTACCTCGGTCAGACTGTCTTTGGCGGGCTCTGGAAGCCTTGAGTCCAAAAATGTTGCCATCTCTTGTGGCTGCACGTTTTACTTCCGCTGGCTCCTGCCAGCCTGCCGCTGGCTTCCGACGGCTGAGGCGCCCTCGTTTCACTTCCGCCCACTTCCGCCGACCTTCCGCCGCCCTTCCGCCGAGGCGGAGATGGCAACTCCTTCGACCCTCGAGGACAAGGCCGTGTCTGGAGCGGTGTCTCTTGACGATGCAGTTGACGAGCGACTGAGATGCCGGACGCCACCGACGACGCCGGCGCTGTCCCCCTGGGCCTGCGGCAGCGACGGCGCCCCGAGCGCAACCGCGAGCGGCACGGTCCAAGACGGCCCCAAAAACGATCACGACGACGTCGACGACGACGACGACGTCGACGACGACGACAAGGACGACGACAATGACGACGACACCGATGGCAAGACGACGACGACGAATAAAACGACAACGACAAGACGACGACGACCAATACGACAAGTACGACGAATACGCCGAATACGACGACGACGACGACGGCGCCAACGAATACGACCACGACGATGACGACGACGACGACGACAAAGGCTACGGAGACGACGACGACAACGACGACATCGACAAGAGCATAACAAGCCCAACGCACGGAGCCCCGACGTGGTGCCGCCGCCCTCGCGGAGCGGCGCGCTCGGAGAGGCTCCTGGGGGGCCTTTTTGCGGAAACGGCCGAGGGATACTCGGCTCGATTATGAGGCCACCGAGCCACATCGGGCCAGATTGAGCCCCCGATTGCGCCCGATCGCTCAGGATCCGAGCCTGGACGAGCGCGTTCCCCTGCTCGCAGAGTAGCCACTCGCAAATGGTCTGGATCCGCCGCAGGGGGATCCACGATACCTGACATCGAAGCAGCCTCGTGTGTCTTCGGACGGTTGCGAGCAGGCACTCTGCGAGTAATTCGTGGAACGCGCTCGGTGAGAGCCCGCGCAGGCCAGCGCAGGACGGCCTTCGACAGCAGATCTGCCCGCGCCCGTGCCGAATCCGAGAGGCGGGACTCTGTCCATGGCACCGCCTGGGGGAATTCGAGGTTCGGGGACCTGGCCACCGCTCGGACGTCCATTCCCTGTGCATTTTTCGGTTTCGTGCGTGGTTTTTTCGCCAAAAGAACAAGGATGCTCCTCGATGGTCCTCGCCGAGGAAAAAATACACACGTCCGAGCGATGCCAAGGGACCGGATCTGCCCAGATCCACCGCCCGCCGAGGCCCCCGAAGATCGGGCCCCCAGGCGGTGGTTATGGACAGATCCGCGCCTCGGATGAAATCTGACCCTCCAGACACCAGAACTGGCTCGGGCATGTCCTCCTACACGCGGACTCGGAACGACAAATAGATGACAGACGACCGACAAAATACTCCACAATAGTCCAAAAATGTAAATGATTGGCCCCAGACTATTTTTTACGATTGTTGAACATTCCTCCTGTGGAGGGACATGCCCGACGCCAGAAACCGAGGGGGGCGCGGGAGGGCGGGCGCCGGCGCCAGGGAGGCCGGCCCGAGAGGGTCGGGCGCTCGCTTGCGGGGGGTAACTTGTTGAACCGACCTGCTATTGCCACGAACCCCGACCTTGGAGGTGAGCTCAGCACGCTTCCATGCGAGCCACCAGCCGAAGCAGGGGCATGGGGGCACGTCGGGGAGAAGAAGACGACGTCGGGGCGAAGAACCTGGCGGAAGTCCTGGGCGAAGCTGTCCTGTGGGAAAAGTGGCTGAGAACACGCCGGCGCGTCTGGGGGTGAGCCCAGCCCAGCACGCGAACATGGGAGCCACGAGGTGAACTCAGCACGAATTGTCCCACACAAAAAAACTTAACCCTTTGTGAGGGAACCTAAAATAGGAGGGCCAGAAACATTCGGGATAGAGGGGGTCTTTTCTGTAGAAAAGCACCAGGCCGAACCGCGCAGATCGATTATCCTGGATGCGAAGACGGGGACCTGAGTGAGGCAGCGTCTGCATCGTGCTGTCAAGGTCAGTGGCTCTTTTTCGACGATGAATGACTGCGGCCGTGAGCTTGGGCTCAGCGTGCCGCGGCGGCGGCCCCCTGCGCCCCGCCATGGCCCGCAAGCTGCCGGCACGTCGATCCGCTGCCTGGGGCGAGGCCAAGAGACGCTCGGAGCGCTGGCGCCTGGGGATCGGGACGCGGTCAGCGTGTCACGCCGACGTGCGGCGGGCCAGAGGCGGCGGCGCGGCGCGCGGAGCAAGCGCTCCAGACCATAATCGGGGAGGAGGAGGAAGAGGAGGAGGAGGAGGAGGAGGAGGAGGAGGAGGAGGAGGAGGAGGAGGAGGAGGCGGAGAGGAGGAGGAGGAGGAGGAGGAGGAGGAGGACGATGAGGAGGAGGAGTAGGAGGACGAGGAGGAGGAGGACGAGGAGGAGGAGGAGAAGGACGAGGAGGAGGACGAGGAGGAGGAGCTCCAGACCGTACTCGGGGATGCAAAGAGGAACGCGCGCCTCTCCGACACATCTGCAGTCCGCGGGTGCAACCTACGGGCGACGCGTACCAGGAGGCCACTCTCTGGCGCCGCTCTGTCCTGCAATCCATGATCCCCCCCGGCTGCCGAGCGCCCAAGAGAGAGAGAGAAAGAGAGCAAGAGAGAGACAGCGAAAGAAGGCTGGGCGTCCGGGGTCGAGTTCGTCTGCGATAACTAACCGGTCGGTCGGCTCTCTCGGGGGATCGGACGAGGCCGTCGCATCAACGCGCGCGCGCGAAGAGGTGCGCATCCGGGAAGTCTGCGCGAGAGGGCCGGGCGTTTGAGGTCGACCCCCCGTCTGAGAGAGAGGCGTCTTGAAGCAGAGGCGGGCGTCGTGACTGGAGGTTCCAGAATGCACTGGGCATGATGGATCAGCGTGCTTCATGCGCGCGGCAAGCGCGAACAGCAGCGAGCCCAGACCCCCGACGTCATGATTTTTTCATGACGTCGACCCCTGGAGGTTGCGACCTGATCCGCGGGACCGGCGTTTCATCCAGAGTCGTTCTTTGACGGTCCCGAGGACGTCGCGGTGACCTTCGGCGGCCGCGCCACCCTGCGGGCGCTGTCGGTCCGCTGGGCTTGCCCGAGGCCCGTGTTGGAGGCCTGGAAATTGGCACCAACACCAGCCAGGAGGCAGATGATCCTAGATTTCGGTGTCGGTGGCAATATTTCGGCCACCTTGGAGGCCAGAATATTACCACCATCACCGAGATCGGGATCGTCTTCCCTCGGTGGAGGCGCACCGCCGATCTTGGTGTTGGTGTCAACCTCTAAGGCCTGCGACCGTGGACCTGCCGAGAGCCTGGCCTTGTCCTCGGGCATCCTGCGAGCCTGCTAGCGGGCCACGACTCGGTCCATGGGAAGTGCCCACTTCAAGCGGAGAAGTTGACGACATGGGGACACACCGCGCATCGCGCTGGTGTCTACTTAGAACCCGAATGCAGGGAGCCATGACGCTGCCCGAGCAGCCCGATCAGCCTGCACACCACCTGCTCCTGCTACAGCTACCGCTGCCACGGGCCCACGCGCCACTCAATGGCGCACTCCTGCTCGGACCTGTCGGCGTTGAGCGCGTCCAGTCGCGCGGCGACGAAGAGGAAGTCGGAGAGCAAGTTCAGGAAGACGCAGATCACCTCGTCGCCGTGGCCAGGCAGCAGCAGCGGCCACGCGTACCGCTCGGCGCGACGGCACATGGCTCGCGCCACGTGCAGCGCCGCCGCTCCCCGGGCTGCCGCCTGGAAGGGTGAAGTTCTGAAGCCTGCTGAGCTGCGCGTCCGCGGCTCCGGCGTCGCCGCGTCTTCGCAGCTTGCGCGCGCTGCTGGCCGCCGCCCGTGGCGTGCAGAGGGCGCTGCCGACGTCCAGCAACCACGGCTGCACCTGCTGCAGCTGCGCCGCAGGCGCGGCGCGCGCCGCGGACAGTTCGCTGGGCGGCCCGATTCGCTGGTAGGCGAGCCCACATTCGAGTCGAGCTCGCCCACGCCGACGGCCTCGTAGATCGGACCCGACTACAGCGGGGTCTGCTCGTTGTAAAAACTGATGTAGGCAGCATCGCCCTTGAGGGTACACAGGCGCGACTTGGAGAGCGGGTCTCGGTGGCCTTTGTCTGCTGGCAGAGGCGCGGCATTTGGTCCCGCCGCCGACGCCGCGCCACCACGCTCGGCAATTTTGCCCGGCACATTGCGGTGGCCCCTTGGGCAGTGGCAGCAATAACGCTCGAAGCCCTCGCGCATCTTCAGATGGTGCGCCGCGAAGAGCTCGCAGCCCGACGCTGCATCGATGTAGGTGTCGAGCTCGCACCTCACGGCCTCCTTGCACAGCAGCATGGCTCAGTCGTAGAGCTGGGCACAATCCTCGAGGTCGGCGAAGGCCAGCGAGTCGGAATGCCCTTCCAGCCCGGGGCGAAGGCAAAATTGGATGAGCTCCACTGGATCGATGCCCTCGTCCTGAGAAGCAGTCGCTGAGTCGCTGCGGCGGTGCTCGGAGGTGGGAGCCGACGCGACGGCCACTTGGCGGCGACGAGCAGGGTGCCGGCTGCGAGCAGCCAGCTCACGACGGCGGCGAGGCATCGAGCGGCGAGCGCTGGGGCGGACGGAAAGCTGCCCAGGCGGAGTGGCCCGATGCCCCTCGTCGCTCGCCGACGGCACCTGGCAGGTCAGAGCCTCGCGACAGTCGCACTCCGAGGAGGCGCACGCGCGCCTCGAGCGAAGAGCTGTGCTCTCGAGAGCCGTGAGCCTCGGACCGGCAGGCGTGGAGCTGTCCTCGAGAGGGCTCAAGCGCGTCTCGAGCTTCGAGTCGAACTCCGAGGAGGCGCACGCGCGCCTCGAGCGAAGCGCTGTGTGCTCTCGAGGGCCGCGAAAGCCTCGCACCGGCAGACGATCGGGCTGCCCTCAACGGAGGGCGCGGCCGCGTCTCTCGAGCTTCGGCGTGCGCACGGAGGCCGTCGCGGCGCTGCGGCGCGGCGCTCGCTCCAGCCTTTGCTCGCATGCCGCACGCGCGCCTGCGGGAAGCTTCGTCGCGAGAGGAGAGAATACGCTCGGGGGTCAAACTATTTCGTGGCGAAACGCGACACGCTGGTTGGTGGGACACCCTAGCTCTGGAGTGGACCCACTAGAAGAAATGGCCACTGAACCTATGGAAACATATGCGGTGCCGCGTGGCCACACGCGATGACTTACGATAACCTGTATGGTCGATCGCAACGGGCCATCCGCGGCAACTCGAACATGCGGTGAGTACGATCGAGTCTCGACCAAGCGCCTGTCTAGGTGATGGATGAGTCAAGCCAGGTAGACGTAGCAGTCCTGGTAAGAGCAATTCGCTCAGCGGATTATGACGTACCCACCTTCGGGGTCGTAGTAGTAACGTCCGCAGCGAAGCATGCTGGCAACACTGCGCATAGAAAACGCAAACAGGATAAAAGGCATGAACAAAGGGCGAGTCAAAAGGGATTACAGGTCACTATCGGGATTATGAGGTATAACAACTGTTTACAATGAGTAAAAGTCCAATACGATCAATTAAGAAACCCATTCCTACAAGACCCTCATAATGTGGGGGGTGATTGTGAGAAGGTCCATAAAAAGACGGAAATACCAGTCGGGTGCGATCCCTTGGAAACGAATCTCGCAAAGCTCAAAGGTGTGTCACAACTCAAAAAAAGATACAATAGACGAAAACGAACTGAGTTCAAAATAATGCGTCGGAATTCCCTTGAGGAGACCATCGCACAACCAAGCAACGTAGGTACCAGCCTCGTCCTCGCGAATTTGTCCCCGCTATCAAAAAATCCCGACTCGTGACAGAACATTACGTGGACTTCAAGCAGGTAGCGGTAGGCTCAGGAGTCACGTACTCTACACGCAGAAACAAAGTTATAGTATGGGTGCTGATGTGCTTGTTGGCAGATGCGATATAGAAGGTCTTGCAGGTGAAGTTTAACGTTGATCGATACATGTTAACATAGTTTGTAAGAATAAGATCACCCCGATGAATGACGCTAAACAATTCAAAACAAATAAAAGAAAACATCGCCGTGAAGTCACAAAGAGGTGCAACTAGCTAACCGTCAAAAAACGGATAAGTTAATGTATGTATAGTGATGTGGATCTGTAGGTCGGATGGATATTACCATCACCCAAAGGCGCGTGCAACACAAGATCTCGACACCAAATCGGATGTTGTGAAACGTCTACCCACGTAGTTCGATACCGAGCAGAAAGAAACCAAGAGAAACCGCACACAAATGCTTAAGAAGAGCATAAGCTCAATAATGGAGTTAGAACTTGAGAATGGTAGAAAGATCCTGTAAGATAAATATAAACATAAGAAACTGCAGCACGTGGAATTTTAACAATGCTGGATGACTAGGTGTGAAGGGAACCGAAAGGTAAAACTCTTGCTAGGTGTGCTGAGGACTTGTGAGTGGCGGGGGTGAAATATTTCATACAAGAGCTGTGAAGTGGATCACTCGAGCTTCCACTGGACCGAATTGAGTTTAAATGATCGCGCCCTTTGGGAATTATGCTTGCACGTGTTACTGTCCTCTGTAGCGATGTCGAAGGCAAGGGTAAGTGTCTGCTGAAATATGATTCGGCCACGACCTACACCAAACTCGACGGCCGATACAATCAGAAGAAAGACCAAGAGGGGACAGAGGTTCAGGTTGTCAAAGAGAATACCTAAATAAAAAGCGATCGCGTAGAGGGTCATCCAGATAAGCTCCGCAGATAGTAAAATGTGCAACACAAACTTGATGTATATATTTATCAGAGTGAGGGGGCCGAACGGTCATTCACTGTCCCTGGGTGCGTGGCTGAAGTGGGATTCCGCGGTGCGGATTCGTGGTGTTGTTGTTGTTGTTGTTGTTGTTGTTGTTGGTTGTTGTTGTTGTTGTTGTTGTTGTTGTTGTTGTTGTTGTTGTTGTTGTTGTTGTTGTTGTTTGTTGTTGTTTGTTGTTGTTTATTGTCGTCGTCCCACCCGCCACCCGCCCCGCGACCCACCGGCGACCCACCCCGCGACCCACCCGCGACCCACCCGCGACCCACCCGCGACCCACCCCGCGACCCACCCCGCGACCCATCCCGCCACCCACCCCGCGACCCACCCGCGACCCACCCGCGACCCACCCGCGACCCACCCCACGACCCACCCCGCGACCCACCGGCGACCCACCCGCGACCCACCCGCGACCCACCCCGCGCCCCGCCCGCGGCCCACCCCGCGACCCACCCGCGACCCACCCGCGACCCACCCGCGACCCAGCCGCGACCCACCCCGCGACCCACCCGCGACCCACCTTCGACCCAAACCACGTTCAAGGTACAAACCAACATTTTCGGCGCCTGCGGCGGGCTTTTTTTGCATTCCTTCCAGGTGGAGAGCCCGCGCCCGCGACCAACTCGCGACCAACCCGCGACCCAAACCACGTTCAGGGTACAAACCACATTTTTCGGCGCCTGCGGCGGGCATCTTTTGCATTCGTTGGAGAGACCGCAGCCCACCCGCGACCACGTTCAGGGTACAAACCAAATTTTTCGGCGCCTGCGGCGGGCATCTTTTGCATTCGTTCCCGGTGGAGAACCCGCGGCCCACCAGCGACCCAAACCACGTTCAGTGTACAAACCAATTTTTTCGGCGCCTGCGGCGGGCTGCTTTTGCAGGAGGACGAGGAGGAGGAGGGAGGAGGAGGAGGAGGAGGAGGAGGAGGGGGAGGAAGGGGACGACGACGACGACGACGACGACGTCGACGACGACGACAAAAAGGAGGAGGGGGGAGGATCGGGAGGGGGGGAAGAGGAGGAGGACGACGAGGAGGAACATGACGACAATGGGAGGACGATGATGGAAGGACGAGGGGGGGAGAGGGAGGACGAGGAAGAAGAGGAGGAGGAGGACGAGGTGGAGGAGGAGGACGACGATGACGATGAGGACGAGGACGAGGAAGAGGAGGAGGAGGAGGAGGAGGAGGCGGAGGAGGAGGAGGAGGAAGAGGAGGAGGAGGAGGAGGGGGAGAAGGAGAGCGCCATCGACAGGGAAGGTGGGGGCCACACGGTCCGCCGGCTTGACGACGCCCGCGTCGCCCGCGCCCGCCCACTCACTCTTATCCGCAATTGCGGGGTGCTATATACGTATGTAAAGCAAGCCGATAGCAAAGGATCTGCGAATCTCCACAAACAAAATATGGTGCAAATCCGTTGGTGGTGTTGGTTCGTCCTCTTAGAAGCGAAATAGACATCCTCCGGGCGAGGCCTGTTTAGGGCGAGGCCGGCCCGAGTGAACTCCTCGACCGCGAAAAAAAAGAAGGAACAAAACGGACTTACCCCAAACCGTAGCTGAAATAGTACAAGAACTAATGGTTAAGTCGGCTTCGTCTCATTGTAAGGGAACGCGGTCGCGGTGAACATCTGGATCGAGGAAAGGGAATGAGGACCCGATAGAGAATATCATGGAACACCTGAAGGCGCATCATTGCAAGAACGACGCGTAATGCAAAACCAAAGTCATTGAACAGATCGAGGACGAATTGACCCTCTAACAGAACTACGCTGTTCGACTTCTGACGAGAGGAGTCTAGCGGGTAAAGAAAATACTTTTACGTGTGGGATACGAGGGAAAATAAAACTACGTATGGTAGGTTAAGGTGAAAACACACAATATCCTCCACCCGGTCGCCACCAAAAATCAGATACATCGTCACCCTGGTATGGTAAGCGTCAAGGACCTTGTTGACCGACAGAACTGTCAACATACAGATAGTGAATGCAATAAACAAGGTGTAGACAAATAGTGAAGCGAAGGACTCTGCGAACTCCGAAATCTTGGACATGGGAGCACCTTCGGACATGTCAAAAACCAGCTTCAGCAGAAATGTTGTAGATGCACCAGCTGAAGACTAGAGTGTCCGGGGGGGGGGTCGGAGGGTAGTTAACCAGTCTTGGTAACTGGCGTGGAGAAGCGATATGGACCCGCGGATAACAGTTAAGTGAGCAACTAGGTCAACAATGGAAGACACATCGCGCGAATGTGGTGAAGATTGTGAGAATGCCCATAACAAGTACAGGTTCAATCAAAGGGCTGACAGTGAGTCAGTCGGTTGAATAGTGACCGCTCGCAGAATAGGAAAACGTTAGGGAACGTAAAAGTGAGCAGTCCGCAGCGAGGTAGACGGAACTCCTATCTCAATTAAAGGCATCACCCGACCAGAAAAGGTCAGAGTCTTCGGAGCAGGTCAAGATTAGCCTGTGAAGTGTAACAACGCAATTAGAAGTCGAGGGAGGCTAATCACATAATCATAATATGGAACCCAACACATCGGTGAACACACCTCTTGAAACATACGGGAAGGATGCCCCGAGGGCAGCGGGTCCTGGACACTCAAGGTCGAGTGATAGGTGTGCCACTTCTGCGATGTCTTCGGCCTGGGTGTGCGAGATCTGGCCTCCTGCTAACACGGGAAGACAACACATGTGCAACCGCCAAGCTTTCTGCCGTTCGGCGTCTCCAGGACTCCGTGAGTTTTACGGGTAAAGATGCGTATCAGATCAGAGGTATGCCAACTATTGGGCAATACAGCATCTTCTACACCACGTCCTCGGGATTGCTGGCATCAGAGACGGCGTGTGGTGAAGTGCTCGAGTAAATGGGAAACATGCACGAGGTCAAAGCTAGGGCCCCATCCTTGACCAACTGTGGACCTCCTTACGCATGCGCGAATGCAGGGCAACGAGCGGGGGGACTGGCTCAGGGGGAAACACGCGCCGCCCTGGACTCTGCGGCACGTCGTCGATAGATCGGCGACCGGCAGCCCCCAATGGCGAACCCGCCCTTTCCCTGGGCGGGGTGGGGCTATCAGGACCCCCATCGGCGATCCACGGGCGCTTGGGGGTCGATGCGGCCCCCCCCCCTGAACCTCTCACCCCTTCTGCTGCCCATGCGAGGCGGGGGCCCCGGGGAAGGCGGGTCCTGCACCCCAGGGTTCTCCCCGGGGCCAGAACCGCCATCCTCGAACTTCGCTGCCAGAGCTTCGACGAAGGAACGACCGATTCTCGAACTCTGGTTCTCGAACCCCGATGCTCGAACCTATACTCTCGAACTTCGCTTCTCGAGCTTCGATTCGCGAACCTCGATTCTCGAACTTCGATTCTCGAACTTCCCAGATCGCTTGGCCGCAGGGGCCCGACCTGCTCGGCCGACGCGGGGGTCGCCTCCTGCAGCAGGTGGGCGGTGGGGCGCAGCATGTCGACGAAGGCCTGCTGCAGCACCGAGTGGGTGACGCCCTTCGCCATCGGCGGCGGGGCGGCCTCCTGCCGGCGGCGCGCCCCCGGGGGAGAAGGGCGAGGGGGCAGGCCTTCTCAGATCGACGACCCTCCGAACGCGCGTCGGCATCGGCGTGTGCTCGTCCAGCGACGCCCCTCGACGCGGCGCGGACGGAGCAGGCGACGGCAGACGCAGGCCGCGTGCCACCGGCGGAGCTGTTAGCGGGGTGAGCACGGGCTGGGCCAACACCCGTCCTGAGGATCACCGATGAGGAGGAGGCGGGGCCTCTCGGAAGCCATCCGGCCTTCCGAGAGGGCGCCCCCGTCTTCGGAGAAGGCCCGGACAGCTTCTCAGGAGGTCAGCTGCCTCCCGAGCTTTCTGAGAAGGCCCGCCCCCTCGGCATTCCCCCCTGGGCTCGCCGCCGATCCCGAGGCAAGGCGCGAGGAGCACGGGAGAGGGCCCCAGACCTCCGACGTGCCCACAAACACACGACGGGGAAGCTTTGGGCGGTGTTCGGCCTCTCGGGGCCCTCGCAGGGCCCTGGGACCCTCGAACAATCGGGCGGGTGGCAATGGGGGGTGGCCTAAATGAGAGGTTGGGAAAAAGGCCCCTTTGGGGCCCGTCTCTTCACCCCCCATTGAAGTCCCCCCCCCCCCATTAACACCCACCAGGACAACGGCCCAGGAGGAAACACTGGTCCCCGGGAAGTCGTTCGATCCTCCCCCCGGGGTGTCCACGTTGCGAGAAAGTCACGACGTCGGGGGGTGCGAGGAGAGGGGGCCCTGCGGCCGTGGCGCCTAACTTTTGTCACATCCAGCGTTTTCGTCCGGATTCGGGCCCCGATCGATCTGGCTTGAAAAATGCTACATCGCGTTTTTGCGAGCGAAGTCTGGAATCAGGATGGGAGGAGAGAGGACAACCCCACCCCGCGGAATTCGAGCACCCAGCTAGTCCTCCGAGCCTGTCTGGCCTTGGGAAGGCGTGCCACAAAGTATTGCACGGTGCCACTCGAACTGTGCACACGCCAAGGAGGACGGGGAGGACGAGCAGAAGCAAGAAGGACGAGGAGGAGGAGGAGGAGGAGAAGGAGGAAGAGGAAGAGGAAGAGGAGGAGAGCGCCGCGACAGGGGAAGGGCCAGAAAAGGGGCCTTCGTCGTCGCCATCGTGGTCCCCGCTGCTGAGGCCGTGAGTCGAAAACGTCGTCGTCGTAGTCGTCGTCGTCGTATTCGTATTCGTCGTCGTTGTCGCCGTCGTCGTCGAAATCGGTCCGGCCGCGCGAGCACCCAAAAAATCAAAAAGGATGCAACCGCCAGGTCGAGACGGAGACCGCTCGAAGCCACCCGAAGTGCTGGGAGAGGGCACCAGACATGAGCTAGTGTCGGGAGGTGGGATGGGTGGAACAAAGGTACCTTTGCTGTCTCTGGAACTCCCCGTGGTGACCATGGGGTCATGTAAGAGGGCAGGTGGGCAGAGGGAGGCGGGATAGCCGAGGGCAAGGCGGAGGGGGTTGCAGTCGGAGCAGGGCGAGTTGAGACAACGGCAGCTCGAAGTCAGTCCCTTGACCCCTCCCGGGGTTCACACGCACCTTTGTGTCCGAGCTGCGTCCAGCCGTGGCGACGAGAAGGCCAACTGCCGTTGTCTCAACTCACCCTCCTTTGCTGCAGGGAAATGGCACCATATGCTATCCAGGCTCTCAGGGGAGGGCGACGATGGCGACGACGACGTTGACGACGACGGCGACGGCGGCGACGACCGCGACCGACGACGATCTCGACGACCGCCCGAGCGAGGCTAGACAACGTGACCCCCAGAGGTCTGGTCCAATTCTCGGGGGCCAATTTTTCATCTCGACTTGTTTTCCGACGGTCTCAGGCACAGTGAGGGCCCCGAGAAACCGAAAATCGTTAAAACCATCTGTCCCAGACATCCGGCGTCTCGATTTCTTGGAGACACGGGCCCCCGACCTCTCGACCACTTCCCCGGGACCAATTTCTCGTCCCTAGTCGTTGTTGTATGGTCCCGAGGCCCGGTAAGGGCCCCGAGGGGCGGAAGACTATGAAAAACCTCGGTCTCGCGATTCCCGTGTCGAAGACTGTCGAAACGCTGGATTTCGGGTGTCGTGATCGTCTCGTGACCCCGGGACCGAGACCTGCGACGGCCTCGACGACCAGCCGAACGTCGCCCAGTAGCGCGGTAGGCCCCCAACAGCGCGCCGAGCGGACGCAATGCATCTCCCTCACGGAGTGCCACTGGGCGCCGTCGGGCGCCCTCTGGGCGCTGCTAGGCGCCAATGGGGCGCCACTTGGGCGCTGTTGGGGCGCTGCTCGCCGACATGCACTCCGTGCACGGCGAGCGGCAGCCTCCGTGAGTTGTTGCGATCGGAGAAGAAAAAACTTTTGGCGCGCGGAACGCGCCAGGGGGCGGCGCCGGAGGCGCCGCCACGGGGGCCCAGCGCGGATCCAAGAAATCCGCGCGGAGCGCCAAAAGTTTATGTTTATAGGGCGTTTTCTTTGTTTTCTTCTTTCAAAACAATGTAAGAGCATGTTTTTTTCTAGGCTCTGGCAAGTTTACTTGCATGGACGGGGGGGACCTGAACCTGAAGCAAGTCGAAAAAACGACGTGACGTGCGGAAATCACGCAAGCGCACGCTCGTATTCGATTGAGGAGGGGCGAGGGGGGACAAACGCCATGCAAGCACAGCAGAGGCTAGTCCACAAGAAACCTTCCACAGGCAACCCAACCCTGAGACCCCAGGACGTCCACCGATCTCTGGTGTGGGAACGCCGCGCCCTCCACCGCAGAACCAGCGAGACCCAAGACACCCAGGCCACCCTGGAGGCGAGCAGGGTGCTTCTTGGCATGGGCCTCCGCTGCAAACTTGCCCGAACCCACCAAAAGACCCGGCCCTGCACCACGACGACCTCCACACGACCGGCCGAGCGCGGCCGTGCACGCGCCGCGGGCCTGCGCGGGGCCGCCGCCGCCGACCGCGGGGCCGCCGCCCGGGGCGGCCATGGCGCCGCGGGCGCCGCGGCCCCGGCCGCCGCGGCAGCTCGGGGGGCGGCCGGTCGGGCCGAGGCCATGCCGCTGGGGGCCGCGGGGGAGTCGTCGGCGCCGCCGTCTCGACTGGGGACGACTGGCGCACCGACGACAACACCGTTGCCGACGCCGCCGCCACCGCCGAAGACGACGACGACGACGACGACGACGACGACGGCGACGACGACGACGACGACGACGACGACGACGACAACAACGGCAACGCCGACGCCGCCGCCGACGACCACCACGACGACGACGACGACGACGACAGCAACGCCACGCCCACGCCGACGCCGCCGCCGACGACAACCACCACGACGACGATCACCACCACGACGACGGCGGCGGCGGCCATGACGATGACCACGATAAAGACATTCCTTACAGAAGCTGTCAAGAACGTCCCACAACTTATGCCGAACCATCCCGCAAAAACTCCGAACACCTCCGAGAGCCGTCGTCTGAGACGCGGGCAAGAATCCAGAAACAAACATCTCCATAACGATAAACGGGTATCTCTGAAAGCGACGACGAAGAACACGACGACGGCGGAGGCGGCGGCCATGCCAATGACCACGACAAGAACAGCCCGCGAGACATTACACTCTTGCGGCAGAAAGCCGCAAACAACCTGAAACATGGTACAGAAAGAGTGGGGCATAGACGGAGACACCTAGAGTGACCACAGCATGCAATATCAAAGTATATTCCACTAGCACTTTGGACGTAGGTGGTCTACCGAATTCTTTCGTTCCTCTTCCAAAACGTTCTTCCCCCGCCCCTTCGCTCGCTGAGCTGTCGCGGGACTGGACGGAGCGGTCACAGCATAAAAGACGGCTTACAGTAAGACAAAAAACGATGCTTCAAGATGGCCCCCAAGATGCCTCAAGATAGCCGAGACTGGCTCAAGATGGCCCACAGCATGCCTTCAAGAGACCCCCAAAAACAGAAAGAGAGAGAGAGAGAGAGACGAAGAAAGAGAGAGACACAGGATCGTTCCAAATGCTACCGCAGCCCCTCATGGACCCCCCCGAGGAAAATACACTCCTTCAGGAACTCAAGGAAAATCACTGATTTTTGCCTTCTCGCCTTTTCGCTTCCGATGAGCTTCTCAAGCCTCAATATGGCCCCAATCTGGCCCAATAGAGTCCCAGGAGGGGCCCAAATGGCCCACAAGACGCCTCCAAGAGCGCCTCACGAGCGTCCCGGAAGGGGGAGGTGAGGCTCTCTCTCTCTCTCTTGATCGACGCCATCAACGCCCTACAAGGTGGCCCCAAGAGGCCTTCCAAGGCTTTCAAAAGGCCCCCAAAAGGCCCGCAGAGGCCCCCCGAAGGGCCCCAAGACGCCTCAAACGAGCTGCATGAGAACACCCAGAACCGTCCACAAGGAGCCCACGAGGGCCAAGAGGACCCCCCCAAAAACCTCCAGAGTACCCACAGAAGACTCGAAGATGGCTGCATGAATTCTCGTCCTCGTTGTCTTCCTCCTCCTCCCCGTCCTCTTCGTCTTCGTGCTCGTCATCGTCCTCGTTGTCGTCTACGTGTCTGTCGTCATCGTCCTCCTACAACTACTCGTTCTCCTCCTTCTCCTCATCGTCCTCGTCCTCATCCTTCATCTTGTCCTGGTCGTCGTCTTCCTCATCCGCCTCCTTCTCCTGTTCCTCGTCCTCGTCCGCCTCGAAGTCCCCAAGGGGGCACCAAGAAGACCGAAAGAGAGTTACCAAGATGACCGGCTCCAAGAATCCTCACTATCGCCCTGCTCGTTGTCGTCCCCCTCCTCCCCCTCATTCCCCCCCTCCATCCGCAAGATAGTTGCAGGAGGCCCCTACGAGGCTCCTAGAACAGCTTGGGCTTGCCTGGGCATCGGTTCTGGATCCCCCATCGGTGGAAACTAAGGTTTCCACCGATGTTTACGGGGGGGAGCTTCCACTGCATGCATACGCATGCGTCTACCCATTCCAGGTCCAATTTGCCTGGCCATCGTTTCTGGATGAGCTGGTGGTGCTACGCGAAATGTCAAGCATAGAACAGAGCACCGTGTAGCGCTGTGTGTGGTCTTGTACGGTATGGTATAATTACCCTGCTACGTACCCAACCCTTTCTACACATGTGGTGGTTACATTTGGGACCACTCAATGCTGACGGGCATGCTGAAAAACCCGCAGTGCGGAAGAAGAGCACCCATCAGTGAACTCAGAAGAGCGCAGCAAGAAGAGCAGCGGCAACGCGCAAGACGTACCTCTGCTGGGCCTCCCAGGAGCCCACGAACGTGGCGACAATTGCGCAGATCGCAGCCCCCCAGGGCACCGCGAAGTCTCGAGGTGGTCCGCGTGGGACGTACCTCCGCTGGGCCTCCCAGGAGCCCACGAAAGTGGCGACAATTGCGCAGATCGCACCCCCCAGGGCGCCGCGAAGTCTCGAGGTGGTCCGCGTGGGACGTACCTCCGCTGGGCCTCCCGGGACCCCACGAAAGTGGCGACAATTGCGCAGATCGCAGACCCCCAGGGCGCCGCGAGGTCTCGAGGTGGTCCGCGTGGGACGTACCTCGGCTGGGCCGCCCAGGAGCCCACGAAAGTGGCGACAATTGCGCAGATCGCAGCCCCCCAAGGCGCCGCGAAGTCTGGAGGTGGTCCGCGTGGGACGTGCTTCCGCTGGGCCTCCCAAGAGCCCACGACAGTGGCGACACTTGCGCAGATCGCAGCCCCCGAGAGCGCCGCGAGGTCTCGAGGTGGTCCGCGTGGGACGTACCTCCGCTGGGCCTCCAAAATGCCCACGAAAATGGCGACAATTGCGCAGATCGCAGCCCCCAAGGCACCGCGAGGTCTCGAGGTGGTCCGCGTGGGACGTCATTCCGCTGGGCATCCCAGGAGCCCGCAAAAGTGGCGACAATTGCGCAGATCGCAGCCCCCCAGGGCGCCGCGAGGTCTCGAGGCTAGGTGGTCCGCGTGGGACGTATACCTCCGCTGGGCCTCCCAAGAGCCCACGAAAATGGCGCAAATCGCAGCCCCCCAGGGCACCGCGAGGTCTCGGGGTGGTCCGCGTGGGGCGTACCTCCGCTGGGCCTCCCAGGAGCCCACGAAAGTGGCGACAATTGCGCAGATCGCAGCCCCCAGGGCACCGCGAGGTCTCGAGGTGGTCCGCGTGGGACCCACCTCCGCTGGGCCTCCCAGGAGCCCACGAAAGTGGCGACAATTGCGCAGATCGCAACCCCCAAGGCACCGCGAAGTCTCGAGGTGGTCCGTGTGGGACCCACCTCCGCTGGGCCTCCCAGGAGCCCACGAAAGCGGCGACAATTGCGCAGATCGCAGCCCCCAAGGCACCGCGAAGTCTCGAGGTGGTCCGCGTGGGACCGCCCTCCGCTGGGCCTCCCAGGAGCCCACGAAAGCGGCGACAATTGCGCAGATCGCAGCCCCCCAGGGCACCGCGAGGTCTCGGGGTGGTCCGCGTGGGGCGTACCTCCGCTGGGCCTCCCAGGAGCCCACGAAAGTGGCGACAATTGCGCAGATCGCAGCCCCCAGGGCACCGCGAGGTCTCGAGGTGGTCCGCGTGGGACCCACCTCCGCTGGGCCTCCCAGGAGCCCACGAAAGTGGCGACAGTTGCGCAGATCGCAGCCCGACGGCACGAGAGAAGAGGAGAGGGAAACACAGGAGACAGGAGAGGAGGAGGGGAGGAGGGGGGGGAGGAGGAGAAGGAGGACGGGGCGACCACACTGCTCTATTCAAAACGAGTGCCCAACCATAGGAGGGTTGGAAATAAAGAGTTCCCTCGATCAGACTGCATGGGGACAAATGGCCATACAAGATTGTCAAGTACAAGCTCGGATTCTATAGTGTAGATGTATGCCGGGCATGTTCTCCTACAGGCGAATTTTGGAAGGACATAAAAACATAGCCAACACATTGTCAAACATAGTCCACAGAGCACGAACAATCGCCCTCATACTATTTTTGACTTATCTCGGATATTCTTCCTGTGGAGGCTGTGGAGGGACATGCCTGACCTAAGCGTAGCACAGGTCTGGTAAAAGACCAATGGAATTACAGTCTGCGGGCAGGTGACTGCTGCGGGGACGAGCAGCAGCAAGACCACGACGACCACTACCACCAACGACACGACTACGATGCGAGGCCACGGAGAGACCACGGGAAGCCACGGGAGACCAAAGCGTCCAACCGCTGCCAAACCCGGCGACAAGCTGCTCAAGGAATCCTCAGGAACACCCCGCAGCTTCCGTCAAACCGTCAGTGCACCGACGACAACGAGCACCTCCGAGAGCCACTGTCATCTGAGACAAGGGCACTAGTCGAGGATGAGGAACAAACTGGACGAAGATAATCAGGAATCTGTCTGAGGGCCACAGGGCCTGCAGGATGTATCGCAAGCGCCGCGGCCAGGTCAGAGCGCTCTCAGAGTGTTCCAGAAATCTCTGGGGCGATGCAGCTTTCGTCCTAGGCCCGCCGCCGCCACACGAACACCACGCAACATCGGATCGAATCGAATCGAATCCGAGGAATGTCGGAATCGAATCCGATCGGGCCCGCCAAAGCCGACGTCGAATCGGCCCGACCAAACACGGACCCTGCCCGCTCAGCTGCCCGACGACTGGGTCTAAGCTGTGCTCACAAAGGCCGAGCACGCCGAGAAGGAGCCCGTGGGGTGTGCAGGCCCCGGTCCGGCGCGCGGACGCGCGCGCGCACAGGCGGCGGCGTCTTGGCGCGAGCAGCGGGGGCGCACATCATGTTCGAGAGGCTCTGCGGGTCCCACTTGTTCACCTGCGTCTGCCCCAGTGCGACCCCTTCGCGGCCCGCGCCCTGCCCCCGACGGGCAGCAGCGGAGGAGGCGGGAGGAGACTATACGAGGAGGGCTGGCCGTGCCGAACCGCTTGGGGCCTCGTGTGGGCCGCCACATATGAAGGGGCCCTGGGACACACAAATAAATACACACAAATTAAAAAGGTTCCCCATATTTTCCTATATTTTCTGGGGTTTCTGTCTTCCCCACCACTTCCCATATTTGCCCATATTTTCTGGGGAATCGACGATTCATGGTGTCTGTGTGTTTCTTCCCCTCCTGAACATGCAGCAGCCTGCCCATGCAAACCAAATCTCCGATGGCATGCTTCTTCAGCTGACGTTTCCTCCTCGCCGTCCGCCCCCGTGGGGGCCGCTCTCGGGCCCCCAGGACCACCGAAAAAAACGATCCGGGACGTGGCGCTACCCCAGGAAGCGGTCGAGCCCTCTGGGACGAGGGGGAGGAGGAGGAGGAGGAGGAGGAGGAGGAGGAGGAGGAGGAGGAGGAGGAGGGTGGAGGAGGAGGAGGAGGAGGACGAGCAGGAGGAGGAGGAGGAGGAGGAGGAGGAGGAGGAGGAGGAGGAAAAGGATGTCTGGGAAGGCGGATGCTTGAAACACCAGTGGGAGCTCCGAATCGGAGAGACGTCTGCAACCGAATGATAACCCAACAAGGGTGTCCGACGCGCCGAGTGGAACCGCAGAGGCAGGGCTAGCAAAAGAGGGAACAAAGCCGCCACTCCGCCGCTCCCCGAGCATCTCTCCCGGGGCGTGCCCTGACCAGGAATCCGATAGGCGGATCCTGCCGCGGCGACGAGGGCCTGTCAAAAGGCCCCCCAAAAACGAGAAGCCGACAGAGGGGTGGCGGCACCTGCACCTTGTCCGTCCTGAGCCCTGGCCGCCCGGCCTGCCCGGATCCCGCGCCGTGAGCGCCAAGGCGGCCCGAAACCACGCCACGGCCGCCCGAGACTGCCCATATGGGGCTCGCCGCGGGGCCATCCGAGGACGTCCCGGAGGCCGGGAGGATGCAACAACTGCCGGGCTCGGGAAACCACGTGGCGGTGTCGGCATCTCCCTCTCCCCTCCGTGGCCCGACCGCCCAGATGGCCCTCCACGCCCGCGCTGCACAGCTGTCCACCGAAGGCGAGGGGTGCGCCCGAGGGCGAAACCCCTCCCGGGGCGCGCCGCGCGAACATCCGCAGGTCGGCGCACGCGGGGGCGGGCGCAACACAGCCCGAGGCTCCGCGCCGAGCCCGCCGAACCCGCGGCCGAGGGCTTCCACGGGGGGGGGGCGGAGGAGCAGGGACACGGGCTCGGAAGCGCAGGGTGAGGAGAGGGGCGTGGGAGGTGAGGAAGGGCAGGAGGGGGAGCATGATGAGGAGGAAGGGGGGGAGGAGGGATCAGGGGGAAGACTTGGGGGAGGGGGCGGGCACGGCGAGGGGACGAGGAGGAAGGACTGCGGGGGGAAGGAAGGCGGATGGGGAAGGCAGCGCTGCAACGCCAACGCCCGTAAGGAACTCGCACCGAACACCGCGCCGAAACTCACCGACCCACGAGCGCGCCCGACTGGAACCAGCGCCCGGGGACACCCAGCGGGTGCCCCTACCGGGGCCGCTGTGCGCTTGCGCCCCCCCTGGGCCGCCAGCTCGGCCGGCCGAGCGAGCCCCTGCGTCAAACGGTGGCGGGCGCAGGGGCCCTTTTCGGCAGCTCTCTTGACCCCGGGGTCGCTCCGCCCCTCTTCCTCCGTTTTCTCTCTTCCTCCTCACCTCTCTCCTCCCTTTTCTCCACCTCCACCCCCTTTCCTGTGTCCTCCTCCCTCCCGCCCTCCCCGCCTCCCTACCTCACTCTCTTTCGCTCCCGTTTTCCTCCAAATCCCCCTCTCCCTCCCCGCCTCCGTTTCCGCCGTCCCACCCAATGTTGTATCTCTCTGTGTTTTTTTATGTTTTTTTTGTGCCCAACCATCCTGTGGTTTTGGGTCCTGGTTTTGAAGAGACGGTCCCCGCGTTTCCTCTCCTCTCCTCCTCCCCCCCTCGTCCCTTCTCCCGTCACCCCTCTCATTCTGCCACACCCCTCACACGCTTCGTGGCCCCATAAGGAGCTCCACCCAAAACCCCAGCGGCTGCGTTCACATGCCGCCCCCTCTTATTCTGGCACACCCTCACACGTTTCGTGGCCCCATATGGAGTTCCACCCCAGGCCTCAGTGGTTGCGTTCGCATGCCGCCCCCCCTTTGGCACACCCCTCACACGCTTCGTGGCCCCACAGGGAGCCCGACCCCACGTCCCAGCGGCTGCATTCACATGCCGCCCCCCCACTTCGGCACACCCCTCGCACGCTTCGTGGCCCCATATGGAGTTCCACCAAAGGCCCCAGTGGTTGCGTTCGCATGCCGCCCCCCTTTGGCACGCCCACACGTTTCGTGGCCCCACAAGGGGTTCCACCGAAGGCCCCAATGGTTGCGTTCGCATGCCGCCTCCCCTCCAGTTTGACACACCCCCTTCGTGGCCCCAGTGGGAGCCCCACCGAAAGCCCCAGTGGCGGTGTCCGCATGCGTTCCCCCCACCCAGTGTAACGCTTCGTGGTCCCATGGGGAGCTCCACCGAAGGCCCAAGTGGCAGTTTCCGCATGCGTTTCCCCTACCCAATACAACGCTTCGTGGCCCCATGGGGAGCTCCACCGAAGGCCCAGTGGCCGTGTCTGCACGCGTTCACTCTACCCGCAGCGCTTTGTGGCCCCGTAGGAAGCCCCAACGAAGGCCCCAATGGCGGTGTCCGCATGCGTTTCACCCAACGTGTAAAACGTTTTTGGCTCCATAGGGAGCTCCACCGAGGCCCCGGTGGCGGTGTCTGTGCGCGCCCCCCCCCCTCCCCCCAGTACAAGGCTCCGGGGCCCCATAGGGAGCTCCACCGAAGGAGCGGCGGCGTCTGCATGTTTTTCCCTACCCAATATAGCGCCCCGTGGCCCCACAGGGAGCTCCACCGAAGGCCCCAGTGGCGGTGTTCGCGAGCGTTTCCCTTACCCATGCGCTTCGTGGCCCCAGGTGGGGCTTCACCGGAGGTTCCAGTGGCGGTGTCCGCATGCGTGTCCCCCATCCAGTACAACGTTTCGTGGCCCCATAAAGAGATCCACCGAAGGCTCCAGTGGCGGTGTCCGCATGCGTTCCCCCTACCCAGCACGGCGCTTTGTTGCCCCAGAGGGGGCTCCACCGAAGACCCCTTGCGGCGGCGTTCGCACGCGTCTCCTCCGCTCAACGCACCGCTTCGTGGCCCCATGGGGAACTCCACCGAAGGCCCCAGAGGCGGTGTCCGCATGCGTTTTTCCGACCCATTACAACGTTCCGTGGCCCCGCGAGGATCTCCACCGAAGGCCCCAGTGGCGGCGTTCGCATGCGTCTCCCCCGCTCACTACAGCGCTTCGTCGCCCCAGAGCTCCACCGAGTGCCCCAGAGGCGAGGTTCGCGCGGCGGCCCCGCTCCATTTCAGCACACCCCTCACACGTGTCGTAGCCCCATATGGAGCGCCCCCGGAGGCCCCAGCGGTCGCGCCCGCACGCGTTCCCGCCCCACGTCGTCACACCCTTTACACGCTTCGTGGCCCCATAAAGAGATCGACCGACAACGATACTCGCAACTGCATATGGTTGAGCCTTTCGCCCTGATGTGATTGTGTGCGTGTCTCTCTTTCTTTTTCTTTTTTTTCTCTCTCTCTCTCTCTCTCTCTCTCTCTCTCTCTCTCTCTCTCTCTCTCTCTATATATATATATATAGTTCGCTGTATGTGCCCTTCCCTTGGTTATTATGTCTCCCCATTTTTGCTGGTATTTTTTGTTTATTTCTTTTTTTGTTTTTTTTCTCTCTCTCTCTCTCTCTCTCTCTCTCTCTCTCTCTCTCCCCCTCTCTTTCTTTCTTATTTCTTTATTTCTTTCATGTGTTTTTCTCTCTCTCTCTCTCTCTCTCTCTCTCTCTCTCTCTCTCTCTCTCTCTCTCTCTCTCTCTCTCTCTCTCTATGTTTGTTTGTTTTCTCTCTCTCTCTCTCTCTCTCTCTCTCTCTCTTCATATGTATATGTATGAATATAAACACACCTATATCTATATATATATATATGAATAACTACATACCCACACGCACATACATATATAGATATATATGCACACATCCATCGCCGCAACTCGTTCCCCCGCAGCTGTGACCCCCAGTCCCCGCCCCCCCCGCCCCCTGCACCCTGGAGGCCTCTCCCGCGCGAGGGCGGTGCCGCGGCTGCGGCTGGGGGCGCCCCCGCGAGGCCACAACGAAAACCTGTCGTTTCTCCTCCGCGCTATACTTGTCGTCCGAATCGTCGTCGTCGTCGTCGTCGTCGTCGTCGTCGTCTGAGGCCGCCGTTATAATCTTAATTCCTGCCCTTCCCTTCCCTCTTTCATTCGCTGTTGTCCCCAATCGTCGTTGGCGTCGTCGCCAGGGCCTCGTCTTTGTTGGTGTCCTCGTCCTCGCCGTCTTCCGCGCCGTCAACGCTGTCATCGTCGTCGCCGGTATCGTCGGTGTCCTCGTCGGGCTACTCGACGATGCTCGAATAAACGGCGAATGCGCGTATCCTGGGGCTCCGATCGCCACCTGCCCTGGCAAAGTACCTCGGCAGGGGGACGAGGGGAAGGCACGCCGCGCGCGGGGAGCAGAAGTGCAGGAGGAGGCTCGGTGTTCGGAGGAGGGCCAAAGAGGACGAGGACGGGGAGGAGGAACATGACACTGGAGGGGGACGGGGGGTCAGAGGCCAACTGGGGGTCAGAGGAAGGCCTGTTTGGCAAACGGGAAAGGGAATAAAAAACACGGCGGAGGGGGAGGGAGGGGGGAGGCAAAGGGAAGGGCGAACGGCAGGCGCACTGGAGGAGAGGGAGCAGCCAGAACAGGCATGGAGAGATTGAGGGAAACACTGGGAGAAGGAGACGGGAGGAGGAGGAGGAGGAGGAGGCGGAAGAGGGGGACGAGGAGGAGAAGGAGGAGGAGGAGGAGAAGGAGGAGGAGGGAGAAGAGGAAGAGGAGGAAGAGGAGGACAAGGAGGGGGTAGACGAGAGATTTCGACGTGCGTTCGCCATTTGTGGGAATGGCAGGGGGCGGACCCCGCCGCCACACGCAGCGGCAGTCGCCTCGGACGGCCTGGTCAGAACGCCCTCCTGGAGATGCCAACGGGCCGCCTCCGAGGAACAGGAGGGGGAAAGCGGCAAACCAACGGACAGAACGAGGCCGCAACATGCATTGTTACACTTCGGGGTGCTTACACGTGTCGCCGAGGAAGTGGATGGGTCCGCTGAATATTCGCCACGTTGCCGCCCGTTGCCGCCCGTTGCGGCTTGGAGGGCCAACCGGCGATTCGCCGCGCGGCCAACCGGTGAGGACCCTTGCCGCTTCATTGTCGTTTGGCAGGGGGGTTCTGCCAAGGATGTGCCATGTTGCTGGCGCCCCCACCCTGATTTCACTGACACTGGGGCTCTGGCGCGGGGGGGGGGGTGACGCCGCGGCGCCGAGCGGCAAACTCACCGCGAACCTGAATCACGCGGCTCCCGTTCGAGATTTCCCACAATTCACCCCAGACTGATGCTCACTGCGTTCGGGGGAGCGCGGCTCCAGCTCCGAAGGGAAACGTGCACGTCCGCGACGTGCGCACTGCGAATCCTGCTGAGGCGGCAAGCCCGCAGCATACAGTCGAGGCGTTGACCTAAGGAACCCTAAATGAAGAACGAGGCCCCTAGTTTTTCCACAAGTTGAACTTCGATTTCCCATCGAAGACCTAAGGACAACCTGAGGCAAGCTGCGAAACACTTCAGGAACGCGGAGCCCCTCCCCAACGAAAAGGGTTCCTGCTTCGGGGCCCCGACTGTATATGCAGATGTCGATATAGAAAAGAGAGAGAGAGAGAGAGAGAGAGAGCGATACAGAGAGAGAGAGAGAGCGAGAGACGGAAAGAGAAAAGCAGAGAGAGAGAGAAAAAAAGAGAGACAGAGGGAGAGAATGAGAGGGCCCCGACTGTATCTCGCCGACGGCGGCCCCTGCTCGGGACCTCCCCGCAAAATCCGCTCGCGGCGGCCACCCCAAACCGGAGCCTCCCCGCGCTCCGGGCGCCCCAATGATGGGGCTTCTCGTCGCGGCCGGGCGCGAGCGGGGCGGCCACGCGCGCCGATCGGCGCACACGCGCGCGCACGCGCGCACACGCACGCACACACACGCACACGCACACGCACACTCACACACACACACACACACGCACGCACGCACGCACGCACACACACACACACGCACACACACGCACGCACACACACACACACACACACACACACACACGCACACACACACACACGCACACACACACACACACACGCACGACACGCAGACCGAAAACCGCTTGAGCCTCGAACAGCAGCGGTGAGAACATCAAGCGTTTGGCGTGAGACATCCTCGAACAGCTGATAGGTATTCGCGAGATCGGCGAATCTTCGAAAAGGTGCGTTTCGCCTGACATATCCTCACGAGAGTGGCATGTTCGCGACAGTTGCCTTGTACGAAAGCAAGGGTTTTGCTTGAGAAAGCATCGAAACAACTGATCGTCGCAAACTCAGCGAATATTCACATGTGAGTTTCGCATGCGGCATCCTTACGCAACATGGCATTTTCGCGACAACACCTCTTACAAACACCAGAGTTTTGCTTGAGACATCATCAAACAACTGATAGCAACGAACTCCGCAAATATTCTAAACTGCGCGTTTCGACTAAGACATCCTGATGCTACGTGGTGCTCTGCATGATAATGAAGAATACTCATAGTGCTCTGCGTGAGATGAAGATCAGAGCTACGATCGCAACTTTGGAGGGGATAGTAAAGTTCGACCTCCCCACCTGCTCTGGCAATTGAGCCATATTGGATCAATAGATACTAGAGGGTAAGGGTGAAATGCTTCCTTATCCGGGAGATGCGGCTATCCACGCACAATAGCCGCGGAAGCCACCGAAACAACACGTAGCGGGACGACGCCGCTGAGAAACGCGAAAAGGGAAACAACAACAAACAGAGAGACAGGGATATCAACATGTACACTGATGTGTAATAATTAAAAGAGAGGGAGAGAGAGAGAGAGAGACAGAGAGAGAGAGAGAACAAACAAAAACATACTAAAGCATAACTTCAAAAGAGAGAGAGAGAGAGAGACAGGCAGGCAGACAGACAGACAGAGTTCCACTTCCCCCCCCCCCGTACTGTTTCTTCTGGTCCTCCTCCTCCTCTTCCTCGCTTCGCCCTTCGCCCCCTCCTCTTCTGGATCCCCGTGTTCTCTTGCTGGTATGATTCGTTGCCGTGTTCTGTTTTCGTCCTCTCTCTCTCTGTCTCTCTCTCTCTCTCTCTCTCTTTCTGTCTCTCTCTCTCTCTCTCCCTCTTTCGCCTTCCCCTCTCTCTGCCTCAAAATACATGTATGTGCATGTGTGCAGATTGATCTCTCTGTCTGTCTGTCTGACTGCCTGTCTGTCTGCCTATTTGTCTGTATGTCGGTCTGTCTGTCGGTCGGTCTGTCTGTCTGTCGGTCTGGGCCAAGACACGGGTTACAAGCGTGGCTATAGGTCTCGTGGTGGACGCCCCGTCGGTCTGAGCCCACTCGGCCAGAGTTCGAACAGCCACCCTGGCATCCGTGAGATTGCCCAGTCTTCCCAGCATCATTGCAGAGCACCTGCTGGCGAGGGGCTGGCCTGGCCCCTCTCACGAGAAAGAGGGCCCCGAAAACCAGGAACGCCTGCAGGAGCCATGCTCGGACTCGACTTCGTCCGCCCCCGAGGCGCTCGGCCCTCGAGGGCGCAGAGGTCTCGAAGGGGCCCCACTTCCGAAAGAGATCACGAAAATCCTGCCCACAGCCAACGGACTCTGGATGGCTTCGCTGCGCCCGTCCTGGCCCACCTCTGGCCCGGGCTGCGTGCCAGGTCGCCTCCCCGTCGTGCATGTGATCGGACTGCTCCCCCCCTGCTTTTGGACGGGCATGTCCACCACATTCCCCCTGTAGAGGTACATGCCCGACCTAACCCTATAGTCAGCGCATCCCTTCGGCAGACGAACGCGACGATAATTACCCGCGGGAGGCGGCCCTCCACAGTGGACGCGCGCCTGTCCCAGGGCAACTGGTGCCGCCAGCCACTGACACGTGTGGCGGGTTCCGGACTTTTTTTCGATCCGCCGGTCGAGAGCGCACCTCTTCCCGTCGAAGCTACGCGGGCCGCGCACAGCTTGAATTCACGAGAGGGGGGCAGGAGGGGCCTCACAGCAAGGCCAGGAGGGGGCAAAGCCCCGGAATCAGGCGGTGCCGGGGACGATGCGCTTGCAAAGGACCGCCTTGCACAGGACCCCGGCGGCTTCCGGGCACCCAGAACGCCAGAAGACTGCTGTCATCTCTTGGGGCTGCGCGTAAAACACGGCTAGCATCGGGATAAATCGCTCCAGAGCGTTCCGGAGCGCTCTCAGAGCGTTCCGGAACGCTCTGGAGCGGCCGCGGCGCCCAATCCATCCTCCAAGCCCGCCGATTCTCAGAGATTTCGAGTTATCCCGATCCGATTTTGCCCCGACCTTCGCGTCGTTTTTTATCCGCCGGCCCTCCGCGCGCCGCCCCCCCGCCGCGGGAGGGGCTGGAGCTGCAGCTCCTGCGGCCCTCGAGGCCGGGGGAGTCCCTCTGTGGAGCGCCCTGCAGGGGCCCCATGGACGAGCGCTCCCGCGTCCCCGTGCCCCGCGGGGGGCGCGGAAGGTGCGCGGAGGCTGCGGGGACCGCGGGAGGTCCCCTGGCGCGCCTCCGGAGGCCCCCATGGGAGTCCAGAGGGGGCCAAAGGTGCCGCCAACGGGCCTCGGCTCCCTCGGTCCGCTCGGCATGTCATATGCGGCCGGACCTTGGGACGGAAGGACGCCCTTCAAGCACATGAGACCCTCCTCCGAAACCAAAAAAAAACATAGGATCAGTCGAGGGGACCCGCCCCCAGGATGCACAAGAGCATCCGACAAACACGAGTCGGGTCACCTTCCCGAACCGACCTCGATCTTACACCTGGGTCCGACCGTACCGTCGGGGCGTTGACCTAAGGAACCCTAAATAAGAAACGAGGCCCCTTTTTCCCACACGTTGAACTTCGATGTCCCATGGAAAATCTCAGGAAAACTGAAGGCAAACTGCAGATCCATCAAGGAACGCCGAGCCCCTCTCCAACGAAAAGGGTTCCTTCTTCAGGGCCCCGACCGTACACGCAAAGGCGATGCAAGGCCAGAGAGACCGCTGCGTGCGCGGACTCGGTGTGCCGCGGGGGGGGGGGTACCGGGTCCAAGCGCGCAGGGCAGCGCTGGCGGGGGAGAGGTGCCCGGTACCGCCGCGTCCTGGACCTCTCCGGGGGTGCACTCCGACGAGGCTCTTGAGGCGAACCCGGCCGTCGTGGCGACGAGGGAGGTGCATCGGCAGCGGCATCCTCTCGGCGCGCGGCCTGGCGCGCCCGAGCTTTGGTTACGGATGCGCGACACCGTGCAGTACGCCAAACAGTGTGGCCCGAATCCGACGACGGTCACTGGTTGGCAGGCGACTTTCTGCCTCACTCACACGCACACGCACGAACACGCACACACACACGCACACACACACACACGCACACACACATTTTCACACACATACACACACATACACACACGCACACACGCACGCGCACACGCACGCGCACGCGCACGCGCACGCGCACGCGCACGCGCACGCACACGCACACGCGCACGCGCACGCGCACGCGCACGCGCACGCGCAGACGCACACGCACACGCACACGCACACGCACACGCACACGCACACGCACACGCGCACGCGCACGCGCGCACACACACAGCCACACACACACACACACACACACACACGCGCGCGCACACGCACACGCACACGCTCACGCACACACATCTTACGTTGCATCCTCGAGGGACCTTGTCTGTCCCGTCGCGGCCCCATCCGCGTCGAATCCGTGCCAAATCCATGTCGGACTAGTCGGATCCGTGTCGAGTCCGTGTCGAATCCGCGTCGAGTCCGCGTCGAGTCCACGCCACATCCGCGCCGAGTCTGCACCGAGCCCGCGTCGGGCACAAGAAAAGACACCAATTTAGGGGCCAGGAGATACACTGATGGAGTGAGAGTTCGGTGGCAACTCCTCACGGGAGCCTCCCATACCATCTTGTCGACTCTCGCCAATTGGCGCCAACCGACGCTAGTCGACGCTAAATCAACGCTACATCGACCGGAAATCGACGCTAGTCGACGCTAAATCGACGCTACATCGGCACATCTCATCGACTCCCGGACGCTACTCGACGCTAAGGACGGAATCCCACCAGCCCTTTGGGCGTGAGTGGTTGAGCGAGCTCTCTCTGTCCTCAGCCCCCCTTCTTCCCCTTCGGGGAGGGGTTTACCCCTCCCCCTACCCCCTCCCCCTGGACCTGGAGAGGGAGTCCCGAGCGTGGTCAGGGGAGTCTTTTTCGACGCCTGGGAGGGCCAAAAAACGACGACCCTCACGAGGATTCTGGCCCCGAGGGGGGGAGACCGTTTGGCGCCTCCGCTCGTCTTTGAAGCAACAAACATTGATTTTACTAGGGTGTTGGCCCCATTTTGGCCTTCTGAGGGGGCCGCGCTCATCGTCCTTCTTAGCAAAATCATTGATGTTACAAAGGTTTTGGCCTCATTTTGTCCTTCTCAGGGGTCAGCGCTTATTTGCGCTTCTGAGGAGGTCGCAAGAGGCCCCAAGATGGCCCCAAGAGGCCCCCAGGAGGCCCCCAAGAGGCCCCAAGAGGCCCCCAAGAGGAGGCCCCCAAGAGGCCCCCAAGAGGCCCCCAAGAGGCCCCAAGAGGCCCCCAAGAGGCCCCCAAGAGGCCCCCAAGAGGCCCCCAAGAGGCCCCAAGAGGCTCCAAGAGGTCCCCAAGAGGCCCCACGAGGAGCCCGAACGACTCACACCAGGACGAGGGGCCCGAACGACTCACACCACGAAGAGCCCGAACGACTCACACCACAAGGAGGGGCCCGAACGACTCACACCAGGACGAGGCGCCCGAACGACTCACACCACGAGGAGCCCGAACGACTCACACCACGCGGGCCCCGAACGACTCACACCACGAGGAGCCCGAACGAGTCACACCAGGAGGAGGGGCCCGAACGACTCACACCAGGATGAGGGGCCCGAACAACTCACACCACGAGAAGCCCGAACGACTCACACCAGGACGAAGAGCCCGAACGACTCACACCACGAAGAGCCCGAACGACTCACACCAGGAAGAAGGGCCCGAACGACTCACACCAGGACGAGAAACCCCAAACGACTCAAATCACGAGGAGCGCTTTCTCTCCCTCCTCCTCCGCCTCGTCCTTCTCCCGCTCCCCCCACAAGGAGGATGTACAAGCAGGCGGGAGGAAGGAGGAACAGGGGAGATATGCGGGCCCAAGCGGACACACGCCTGAAAAACACGACTGTCGGCATGCTTCGCAAGAGTTGCTGCTGTGAGATGGGCTGGTGGGGATACGCGAAGCGTAAAGAATTAAGAGGGTAGACCAAGCTCTCATGATTTGCTACCGAAGAAGCGGAGGGCATGAGATCCGCGGATATATCATGGCCCCAGCCATAATATCCCCCCTCAGTCATCAGATGGGAGATTCTGCCAACCCTGAACCCGAAAACGTGTTCATCTCTTGGGGGCGCATTTTTTACTTCCGCCGCCTTCCGCCGAGCTTCCGGCAGCTTCTTCGATCCTCCAAGGCAAGGCCCATTTTGGAATGCCTCACATGCCCCTCCCCCCCGTGGACGCCCCCCCCTGAGGTCGCGCCAGGGTGCTCGATCCAGGGCAGGACAACATCGGGCTGGGACAGAGCGGGGACCTCTGAGGTCTGGCATTCCCCGATATCCTGGCGTCGCCCATTTCTCGAGTTGCCACAGCTTGTTGCACTTCGGGCCCTGGGACCCTCACAAGCCGAGCCGGCCCGGAAAGTGCGACAAGAAGACACTCCTCCAGGCGGATCTTCGAGGAAACATGAAAAAAAATAGCCCAAGCCGTCAAAACTGGTCATAAGTTCGTCCCCTGATTGAGTGGGGAGGCGCTCCTCCTGTAGAGGGACATGCCCGACGTAAGAGAAGGTCTGGGGCTCCGGTCGTGTAGTCCCCCGCTCCCTGAGCCGTCGAAGAGTGGTCGGGCCAAGCTCGGGCCCCCGACGGCCGCTCCGGAGACGCTCGGGGCAGCCTCCCCCGGAGAGCCCTCGACGAGGCGCAGCTGCTGAAAGAGCACCCTTTGGACCGGGAAGCCGCCGAGCATCGACGAAAGAGCCCGAATACCTCTTCTCACCTCGAGCCCGAAAACTTCGATAAGCGCCCCCAACTAAAGGGGCCCAGGGACACACAAAGAATAAATACACACGAATCCCAGGACTCCCCCTCTTTGTAATATTTGTTCGGGGGGGTCGTCTTCCCCCCACTTCCCATGGTTGTCCAGATTCTCCTGGCAGTCGACGACTAACTGTGTCTGCGTGCTTTCCCCTCCTGGCCAACAACCACCGAGCCTCCGGACTCGATGGGTGGCGGGGGTAGGTTTCGGTTGTCGCCACGGGTTCGCCGAACTCCAGGCCCTGTCCCCGCCGCCCATCGAGCTGCCCGACTCCTCGATCGGCGACGGCAGGGTCTCGGATCTCGCCGCCGCCTCGAACCCCGACCCTCCCCCCCTGGTCATCACCTCCCGCCTGGCCGCCCCTGGCTTTCGCGCCCTCTCGATCGTAATTACACCGAGCGCGGCCGCGCCCCCGGGGGCCAGCAAGCCACCGAGCTCAAACCCCAACAATGGTCCGAAGACCTCGAGCCTCGAACCCGAGCAGCGACGAACCTCGAACCCCACCCTTTGAGCAGGGACCGACCGTCCTGGCATTCCTATAGTCCTACCACAAACTGTTCTTAGAACCCAAAAATGTTCTAAGAGCAAAAACAATGTTCTTAGAACATTGACCCGATGTGTTAAACCAAGACAGTCCCAGCCAGAAATGTTCTAAGAACATTTCGTGCATACCACAAAAGGCTCTTAGAACATTGCTTGGTGGGCCTATAGGCGAGCCGGGACGCTCCGCCACTGCTCGAACCCTGGTCATCCCCCCCCCCCCCGGCTTGGCCGCCCCGGGCCTCCGCGCCCCTCCCGATCGCACAATCGCCCAGCGCGGCCGCGCCCCCGCCAGCGCATCCCGCGCCCGTCGCCCGCGGCCCCCGCCGGGGCCCCGCGGCGCGCGGTCGCCTCCTCGCCGCGGCGGTCCACCTGCGGGGAGGCGGGGGGGGGCGCGGGCGGCAACGCGCGCGCAGCCGGGGCAGCGGGGGAAGCCGGGAGGGCAGCGCCCAGGCACGGACACGGACCCTGGCCAGGATCGCCCTGGGCCCAGGCTCGGTGTGTACGCCCTATGCGCAACCCTGCCAGGGGCAGAGCGCATATGCACGGACCCTTCGGGGATGGACAGACCCCCCTCTCGTAAAACGTGGCTTCGTGAGAACGACCTCGGGCCCAACCCTGGCGGGCGCAGGCCTGGAAAAGGACGGCCGCGGCGCCCTCTGGAGCACCGGCAACGGACAGTTCACGAATCGACGCGTCGGGGTAGGAGGTCTGTCCACCACCCCTGGATCCTGGGCCCGGGGTCGGCCTGGCCAGGCTTGGTGCAGGCGTGTAGCTTTGGTGCCCTCCGCGGAGCGGCGGGTCGAGGCGGGCGGGGCCAACGAGAGCCTCGGGGGCGAGGGCCCCCGCGGGGGAGGCGGCAGGCCGAGGGGGTGTCAGAAGGACGGCGCCCTCCCCGGGAGGCGCTGGCCCGAAGCGAGCATGCAGCACGGCCGTCTTTGAAGGGGCCCTGGGACACACTAATAAAGACACACAAATAAAAAGATTCCCCATATTTTCCCAGATTTTCTTGGTTTTTGTCTTCGCCCCCACTTCCCATATGTTCCCATGCTTTCCTGGGAATCGGCGATTACTTGTGTCTGTGTGTTTTTGTCCCCTCCTGAGTCTTAGAGTTAGGTCGGGCGTGTCCTCCGACATGCGGATTCTGGAGGAGGAAGAACACAGGTCGACAACTACTCAACAATAACAACAAACAGTCGAAACATCGTCCCCTGTCGATTCTTGAACAGTCCTCCTGTAGGGGGACACGCCCGACCTAATCTTAGAGTCTGTCGTTCCCCAGGCGGTGTGGCGAGGAGGCGCTCCCCCCACGGAGCGTAATACAGTTCTCGGCGTCCGTGCCGCCCCTGTTGGGCCGGCTGGTGATAAGTATGTTTGGGTGATGCCCAGAGCGAGGCGAGGTAATGGAATAATGGTGGGCATAAAAAGACAGCGGGGGCCGGAGTGGTTTAAGGAGTGCACTGGGCAGTAGTACCATAGAGGCCCTCTGCATAACAAAAGTCTTGCAACTCCACCACTGTAGATGTTTCAAGATGTTGAGACACCATCCTTCCCCGCACCCAACACCGTTCCCTATTCCTTCTCCGACCGACATGCGGCGAGGCAGTCAAACAGGGGGCACGCATGGCGGGGCTCTTGCACGAGGGGGGTTGACGAGGGGGAGGGGCATTTTGTGGGGCCGTCCGGGAGATATGTCCGGGCCTTTCCTCGGGCCTGCGGGCACTACCGTTGGGGGCCTGGGGCCAAGGAGCTTCGAGATGGTTGCCACGGAGACGGGCGACAACGAACGACGACGACGACGACGACGAAGGACGACAACTTGCACACGCAAGAGGATAATCGTCGCCTGTTCTGCCCGCCCTCCTTCCAATCCTGCGCCCAACACTATTCTCCGCCTCCTCTTCGTCTCCCTTTCACTCTGCCTCGACCTCCAGGACGGGCGGCGAAGACGAAAGGCAAGACGCAAGGCGAAGACGAAAACACCTGGTTTAAGACGTAACTGCAAGTTCAACCGTTTTCGCGCGTTCGGTAAATCGTAAGCTTGCGGCCTTCGCACTTCTCCAACGAGGCGGAAATCGTCGCCTGTTCTACCCGCCCTCATTCCCATCCTGCGCCCAACACTATTCTCCGCCTCCTCTTCGTCTCCCTTTCACTCTTCCTCGACCTCCAGGACGGCGGCGAAGACGAAAGGCAAGACGCAAGGCGAAGACGAAAACACCTGGTTTAAGACTTTACTGGTTCAACCGTTTTCGCGCGTTCGGTAAATCGTAAGCTTGCGGCCTCCGCACTTCTCAAACGAGGCGGGAATTTATCCATATTCACCGCCGTGCCCCAGGGGGTAGTGGATCTGGATGTGGTTTGGCCACGGGGGGGCCGAATCTGTCCACATCCACCACCTGCCGGGATCCCCGGAAATTGATCCTCTAGGCGGTCATGTACACATTTCCGCATCAGATCTCCTCACCTGCTGAGCACAAGATCCTGCCCACCCCAATAACTCCTCCATCCCCCGCCCTCCCCGCAGCTTCTGATGCCGAAGTGGCGTGCAGGGTGCTAGTTGCGCGTTTTGTTCAGCATCGCCGCCCAAAGCAACGATGGCCTGTTTCACACCGCTCACACCGCAATTCCAGAGAGCTGCAGCCCACGGTAGCAGTTAACGTGCAGCGCTGACCATCGCTCCCCCGCAGCTTTAAACAGCATGCTGCGAAGGTGCGTCATATGGAGAGGAACAGCCTCCATCGCTCGCCACCGTCTGATACTCGCTACCGGCAAGCGTTGAGGGATCATCAGTATTGTCATCGTCCGAATCATCATCATACTCATCATCGCCACCCCCATCATCTACAACATCGTCGCCACCACCACCATCATCGGCATTACCCTCATACGGTTAGATCCCTCCTCATCCTTTCAAACATTCTCTTGCACAACTGTGTTCTAGAGCTCGGAACTCATGATTTTCGTGGTGGCCGTGGTGGCCGCGGCCGTGACCGACGGGCCCGTGGCCGTGGTGGCTTTGGCCGTGGCCGTGGTCGACGGGCTCGCGGCCGTGGCCCTAAGCCCCCTGATCGTCGAGGGGTGGCCGTAGTGACCGTGGCCGTGGCCGTGGTCGACGGGACGGCCGTGTCCTCGGACCCCTGGGCCTCTGAGCCTCGCGTCGTGGTGGCCGTGGTCGACGGGCCCGTGGCCCCCTGGGCCTCTGGGACTCGTCCCAGCCCTTTCTGATCTCTTGCGCAGCTGTGCTTAATCTTGTGCCAGCTCATCGTTCTCTTTCTCGCCATCCATCTTCATTGCATCCTCTTTATCTCTATCCTCACCCTCCCTGGGACACTGCTGGGGCTCTTCTGCAACTGTCGATGCGTATGCAAAAAGGTGAAGCCTCCCTTGCGATCTAGAACCCAACTGGGCCTGTTGGGGAAAACGGCCTCTTGGGCGATGGTGCTCTCTCCAGGAAGCCAAGCCCTCGTAAGCCGTCTCGGAGATCTCCTGGAGCCCTTGTGGCGTCATCGGGGGGCGCTTTAGGCAATCGTGGAACACTTTGGAGTAAGAGCATAGGCCATCTTTGGAGGTGTGTTGGGCGTCGAGGGCAAACGCATTGATCACGCACTGGCACACACACACAAACACACACTTTCAAAATCTATTCATGGTAAGTTTGCTAATACATGTTCGCCCCCTTCGAGAGCCTCGAAGAACACCACTGTGGGTCAACATTGTCATTGCTCTAGCAGCATTCTGCGGATTGGTTGGTCGTCTTCCACTTTGGGGCGCTCGTGGGGAGACTCATTGGGTAATACTAGGCTCCTCTCTTGAGGCTCTTGGAGCCTCCTTCGAGCTCAACAGCATGATACAGGAACTACGAACTCTGGACGGCTTGCCGGAGTCCAGAGGGAAGGGGGATAAGCAACAAGAGCAGGAGAACGAGGATGGAAAACCAGGGACGACCCCCACGGCTTGCAATGTGGTCACTGGTCGTTCGCGGACCCGTCCTCCGCGAGTACCTGCTCGTTCGCGTCGTGGTGCCAGAAGAACTTGACCTTCACCCAGACGCCCACCAGCACACTGAAGTAAAGGATCAACGCGATGAAGATGCCATTGACGATGCAGTTCCTGAAGCCAGGGGTGAGCGGCCATTTGGCACCGGCCAAGAGCCCCGAGAGCCCCATGGTGACGCCGAGGGTCAGGAGCGCGCCGGCCTCAACAGCGTTCAGCGCGAAGTCTGTGTACGGACAGTTGAAGCAGTGCCAGGTGCAGTAGGCGAAAGTGACGATGAGGCAGAGCATGAGCTGCTGGAGTGGGCAGTAGCTTGTGGGTGACGCAGTCACGATCGAGGCGATCAGCATGGTCTTGACGGTAGAAGAAGGAAGATGCACAAACAGACGCTGTCGAACGTCCGCGCGATTTTTGGGGATCGGTGCTGGGCGCCCCCCCTTGGAGCGCACCAGTGGCGGCGCCGGAGGCGCCGCCAGGGAGTCCAGCACCGATCGAAGAAATCCTCGCGGACGTGCGAAAGTTTATGGTTACGCTGCCTCCTCCTTCGAGATGAGGCGGCCCACCTCCCACCAGTGGTACCCATCGCGGTAGGATCCCGTCAAGAACTTCACAGGCCCTGCCTGTCTTACCCTCTGCTGGCGGTGCAGCAACGTCAACCAGTAGGCCGGGCCGGCAGTGTAGGAGAACACCAGCACTGCGCCGCACGTCCCTACATACGGCGAGTTGATGATATATTCCAAGTAAGTATCGTGGCACCTCACATGGTTTTCGTAAGACATGAACTGCAGTGGAGCCATACCGTCTGAGGCCGCCTGTGTATGAAAACAAGGCAGAGCGCGCATGCCAGCCGAGACGACACTCGGGAGGAATTGGTTCCCGGCCACCAACGAGAACGTGATCATCCTGCTGACGAACTTGGCTCGGAGCTTCCGGAGGCAGAAGATGTCACCCGAGAACGCATAGCGGCAGACGTCGAGGATCCCCACCAATATTGCAGCAATCGTGACTACATATGCAGGCCGCTCCAACGAAAATACCAAGAGCTCGTCCACAGATGCGGCACCCCTGCCATCCTTGAGAAAGCAATCGTTACTAAATGAGTAGGTGACGTCACCGCGCTGCACCGTCAGCTGCGTTAGGTTAAACATCTTCCTGGCACTGTCCGTGGCATTCAACTCGCGGTAGGCATCCGTGGATGTTACAGCGGAGAGTACCACGCCTGTGCTCGCGAGGTAGGCAAGACCAATCTTCACCACGTCGTTCGCGAGCGTGTCGGCCACTCCATTTGACGCCGCCACGTCCGCGCTGCGAAGCGAGAGCAGGAAGATAACCAATGGCTGCGCAAACCAAACAGCCCACTTTGCGGCCCGGCCTGGCTTGCCGCACGGCTCGCAGGCAAACGGATCCTTATTGTTGCGCCCGAAGCCTGCAAGGCACTTCGCACACCCGGGTGATGCGGAATCGAAGCCAGCGGCGCAGACAGAGCTCACCTTGTCAATGGCCCCGCGGGGTCTGCCGGGCGGCGTCGAGAGCAGCAAGGGGCAGCTGCCCTCTTTGACCTTGGCGCTGATGTTGGTCCGTGCGGGCTGCATCTTCTGGCTTTGGGACACGGAGCAGGCGAATCGATTCGGGCAGCGGTGCGCATCTGTTCTATCACCGTCGGAGAACATCATGGTGCCGAGCGGGATCTCGACATCGAGGTGTTCGACATGGATTACAGTACCAGCCTGCTTCGATAAGAAGCTGGCACACTTGCCCTCGATAACCCTCTGTAGAACCTCGCGGGTAAACTGGAGAGTGTTGCGTGAGGTGTCTTCCAAGCCCACCGTGCTCTCCACCTGCGTGAGGATGTGCACCACCTGGATCCGCCGCCTTGCCTCAGGCACCGAGTGGACGGTCCACAGGCCCCTCATCCCTCGGCATTGAATGTTGGAAACGCTGTGGAAGCGGCAGGGAGGAGGAGGAGGAGGAGGAGGAGGAGGAGGAGGAGGAGGAGGAGGAGGAGGAGGAGGAACAGGAGGAGCCTGGAATCCCAAACATTCTGAGGAGTTCCTGGGCGCTCTCGGGGCTAGGCCTCGGGAGCGCGGGTTGGGAACCCACACTGTGAAGAACGAAGGGACACAACCATGAAGAAAGTGAATTTCAACGGAGAAGGAGGGAGAGAGAAAGCGAGAGAGAGAGAGAGAGAGAGAGAACAAAAAACAAAGGTGAGGGGCAAAGCACAACTCTGGCTGCGCGGCGCCTCGACGGCGAGGGCATTGGATAAGCAACCATTGGATAAGGAAGGCAGGGCGTGGAAACCAGTGGAACTCACCGCCGCCCTCATCAGACGGGGAAGCTCCCAGGGTCCGAAGCCGCCTGGGCACGTTCCTGAACGAACGCCCCCACCGTAGGCCCCCTACAGGCCCTCAAGATGGTTCCAAGAGGCCCCGCAGGAGGTTCCGCGACACGCCAAGAAGCCTCTAACAGGCCTCTGGCCCACAAACCATGCACGGTGGCGAGGTGGACCCAAGGCCATTAGATCCGCCACCACCTTTTCCTTGCCTCTGGCTACCCTCCAGCCGCCTGGAAAACTCCCGGGCAACAATAAAAGTGCTCTGCAAGACACAACAGATGACCGTCAACATGGCATCCAAGACGGCCCAAGACGGTCCAATATGGTCTCTAAGACGGCCCAAGACGCCTCCACGACGGCCAAAAGGCCGCCGTCTGACAAGACGATTCCCAGGCGCCCAACAGTGACCTCAAGACTGCTCAAGACCGCTTCCCTCAAGATGCCACAAGATGCCCAAGAGGGCTCCAAGAGGCCATCGAATGTCAGAATCAACCATCCCCGTTCGATGTTGAATAATTTTCGCGTTCTCGCATTTTCGAGCTTCCGCAATCTAAGACACCCCCAGAGGCCTGTCAGACAGTCCCAAGAGGGCATATACAGCCTCCACGAGGGCCCCAAGACGGGCCAAGAGGGCCCAAAACCTGACCTAAGACGGCGCAAAGGACCCCGAAGACGGCTATAAAGCGCCCCAAGAGGACTTCAAGTCGACCCAGAGAGGCACCCAAGACGGCATCCGAAGCAGTCAGACGAGCCCAGCAAAGAGGCCAGCAAAACGCGCTGATGGAACCTCAAGGGGCCTCCTCCTCCTCCTCCTCCTTGTTGCCTCCTCCTCCTCCTCCTCCTCCTCCTCCTCCTCCTCCTCCCCCTCCTCCTCCTTGTCGTCCTCCTCCTCCTCCTTCTCCTCCTCCTCCTCCTCCTCCTCCTCCTCCTCCTCCTCCTCTTCCTTGTCCCCTCCTATTCCTCCTCCTCCTCCTCCTCCTCCACTCCAACTCCTCCTCCTCCCCCTTCTCCTTCTCGGCATCCTCATTATCCTTCTCCTTTTCCTCCATCTTCTCCTCCTCCTCGTCCTCCTCCTCCTCCTTCTCCACTCTCACATGCCCCCCGAAAGGTTTCCACAACGGCTGGAGGAGCACATAGTCCGATAGCCTGGCCAGACGTTGGCCCAGCGGTTGGCGGACGGCGGTGGTACAGCCGCAGGTGCATTCGATAAGGATGTCCATCGCATACAGCCCAGCAGTTGAGGCCAACCTGGCCAGTGCACTGCCCAGCTTGATTACAAAACTCACCGCTTCGTCACTACCGTCAACGCATGGTAATGCCGAAGCTAGCACAGACACCAGCATGGGCACCTCCCGCTGCAGGGCCGCATGCCCCAACGACACAAAGTACTCCACGAGATGCCCCAAGCCATTGAATACTTTCTTCTTGATACGATCTGCTCGTGCAAGGCCTTTGAATTTCGTCCACAACTTGGCCTTCAAGGTGTCCCAACCTCTACCCGTGCTGTTGCTATTCGAACACTTTGCTTTCCCCAGTTGCCCCACCAATTTTCGCACGGCAAGTTTGGCGACATCGGGCAGCAATAGCTTCGCGGCCGCCTGACGTACGGAGGGATTCTCGTCTTCGGTCGCCGCGCGGAGTACGACGGGTTGGACGGCATCGGTCCTGACCAGCTGCGGCAGAGCAATCACGGCCGCCTGGCGCACAGACGAAGCGTTGTCCTCAGCAGCCGTCCGCAACACGACCCGCGCGACGGGCTCGGCAGCCTCGGGGCCCAGCAGCTGTGGCATAGCCACTACGGCAGCCCGTCGCACATGCTCATTTTTGTCCTCAGCCACCGCCCGCAATAAGACAGGCGCGGCCTGCCCGGCGGCCTCGGGCCCGAGCAGCTTCGGTAGAGCTGCTGCGGCCGCCGCACGAACGATCGCAGCGTTGTCCTCGCCAACCATCCGCAGAACGAAATCAGCGACGGGCTCGGTGGCCTCGGGGCCCAGCAGCTGTGGCATGGCTCGTACGGCTGCCAGACGAACCTCAAAACTGTTGTCCTCGGCCACCACCCGCAGCAGGATGGGTGCGACCAGCTCGGCGGCATCAGTCCCCAGCAGCTTGGGCAACGCCTCCAGGGCTGCTGCACGCACGGACGGATCGGACGACCCCTTTCAGGTCACCGAGCTTGTGAGGAACTCCCGCCGCGCCCAAACTTGCACGCTCGAGCACGGCGGGGGCGGGGGGGGGGTATGGAGGCGGTCTGGACGAGCCAAGCGAGCGCCAAGAGGCAGCTGAGATGGCTCAACGCGCCTTCACGACCCCCCCGAAGCATACAAACCAAGAAACCCCAAGAGGTGCCAAGCTGCTCACGAGACGGCCCGCGAGAGGTCCAGAGCATCCCCAGCACAAGCCCCCCGAAAATCCGCCGCCCCCTTGGGGTTTATCGGCGTGTGGGATGTTCCCTCCTCCCCAAACCCCTTCACCGGGAGCCCTGTCCCGTCGATTTGGAAGGAGGGGGGTCCCCCAGGGACGGGGCAAACGAGCCACGGGGGGGCAGAAGGCCCCAAGACATGCCAAGAGGGCACCGAGAGGCCCCCCTTGACGGTCCAAGGAGGCCCGAGCCGCCGAAAGATCGATCGACGCCTCCCACGCTGGCCTCCGGACGGCCCAAAAGGCTCCCCGAACCCAAGAAGATCTCTTTTTTTTTCTTTTTTTTTTTTTTGCGGAGAGCAGAAGAAAGGGTGACGCAGGTGCTGGGGCGCATCCCGAGGCGCCTCGTCTCTGCAAAGGCAGGCATGCAAGAAGGCTCGGTGCAGCTCTACTAAACCTGGATCCAACTGTACCAACTTCTTAGTCGGGGTTCTGTGGATGGCCATGACAGTGGGCACTCTAACAATCCGAATTATCATTCGGACTCAGAACATCCGAATACGGCCTCAGAGAGCACGAATCGCCCCACGCCCATGGGAAAACATGCACTTTCAGCACATCCGCCTCGCAACATCCAAGACAGCCCGAGAAGCCTTCTCAGTCGCCCCAAGACGGCCCAACCGCCTCCCAAGAGGGCCCTCGGGGGGGCAGAAGGCCCTGACACATGCCAAGAAGGCACCAAGAGGCCCTCTGGACGGTCGAAGAGGGCCACGAGCCGCCAAAAGATACCGAAAACGCCCATGCTGGCTTTCCAGACGGCCCAAGAAGCCCCCAAGGCGCCCCAAGAAGCCCTCAAGAGGCGTTCCAAGACGGTCTCAAAGAGCACAAACCGCCCCGCTTCAATGGGAAACATGCATGTTTAGCACATCCGCGTCTCCTGCGATCACAACATCCAAGACAGCGCAAGAAGCCTCCTCAGTCGCCCCGAGACGGCCCAACGATTTGGAAGGAGGGGGGCCCTCCAGGGACGGGGCAAACGAGCCACCAGGGGACAGAGGGCCCCAAAACAGACCAAGAGGACACCAAGAGGCACTCTGAACGGTCGAAGAGCGCCACGAGCCGCCAAAAGATCGATCGAAAACGCCCACGCTGGCCTCCAGACGGCCCAAGAGGCCCTAAGACGCCCAAGAAGCTCTCAGGAGGCGTCCGAAGACGGCCTCAAAGAGCGCACATCGCCCCATGTCCATGGGAAAGCCTGCATGTTCAACACATTCGCCCCTCCTGCGAGGCCTACAAGGGAGCCCCTACGCAGGCAAAGAGAGCCCCCACACGACCCCAACGACGGCCTCAGAGGCCTCCAGCATGGCCCAAAAGAGTTCCTGTACCGCCGCAAGAATGGCCCCGAAGGGGAACCCGAGCCCGCATTTCGAGCCCTCGGCCTCCCAACACTCGTAAGAACCCTCCACGAATCCCTAAGAGGCCCCCATGGGCCCCCATGGAACGCCCAACGAGGCCTCGAAAAGCTCCGAAAGGCGCCCAAGAGGATCTCAGGAACAACCCACCACAACCGCCAGTTCCACAAGGGGTCGGCGGTGCGGCGCAAGCCCAAGAATCACTGAAATCCACCAGCCTATAAGCGTCCCCAAGAGCCCACCGAAATCTCCGAAGACGCCTCAGAGACGGCCCACACAAGGATCCGGAGAGGTCCAGGACGTTTTAAGAGGAGTCCACGACAATCGAAGACGGAGCCTTGGGGGACCAAGACTGCCAAAGAGAGCCCCCGAAGGCCTTCAGACGCCCAGAGACGGCTCTCAAGAGCGAAGAAGAAGAAGAAGAAGAAGTCCACAGCAAACCCTTTAGTGGCCTCAAAGACGCCATCGATAAGGCCCAGAGATGGCCCAAGGACGCGCCAAGACAATTCCCAGCCACAGCACGACGGCCAGTACGAAACGCAGACGGATAGAGGACGGCACAACGGCCCGCAAGAGGCAATAAGAAGCGCATCAAAGCAATACGCAACTCAAATAGCAGCCATAGCACTCTTGGGCGGCCCGCCATGGCTTGAACTCTGGTCCCTTCGCTCACAAGACAAGAGTCCACATTTCCTCGATGATTCAAGCGGAAAATCCCCCGACACGCGTCCTCATCATCCTCTGGATTCCCCCTCTCCCCGTTCTTCATCATCCCTCTTCCTCGCCTTAGGTACTCCCTTCTCCCCCTCTTTTTCTCCCTCTCTTGTCTGTTCTTCCTTTCTTTCTCAATAGTGGTGTGCCTATCTCTCTGCTGAGCATTTGTAAGCAAGTCCATATGTCTGTATGTGTTTCCATGTATGGGCATGGTTACATAGTATACCAGAGAAGAGAGCCCATTCAGTGGATGTCCTGGAGGCTTCGCATTTACTCAACGGCTGTCCACTACTTCTCTCCCTCTCTCTTTCTCTTCCTTTCTGTTGTACCCATCTATATACACATAGTCGATGCCCAGTTGGTATGCTCTCACACTTCGCTTTGTACTCTATGGTCCCAGACCTACTATCAACGTTATGTGTAAATGAATGTGTATATCTCGAGTCTCTCTCTCTCTCATTTCGTTATCACTAACCTTGTCTCGCTCTCTGTCTCTTTCGATTCATGTATATCTGTCTTCTTCGAAGCCCAACTGCGCCCTATGCTCTCTGAACTGTGCTCTCGTTCTCTCTGTCTCTCTCTTTCTCTGTCTCTGTCTCTCTCTCTCTCTCTCTGCTGACCGCCCCCTCCATGTTTCCAGATTGCATCTAACAGTGGTAGCTCTCTCTCTCATGATATCGTTCTCTAGTCTGTCTATGCTTCTCTCTCTCTCTCTCTCATTCTCTCTGTGTTTCGTCTTGCTAAGTCCGCCTTTCGCCAAACTTCGATCTGCCCTCTGTCCTCTAGCCTCTTCGCTGTACTATGACTTCTGCTCTCTCATGCCTTCGCCATGCTCGGCTGTACATACTCTCAATCTGACCCTGGTCGCAAACGCCCGGAAACACTCGAGAACCTGAACACCCCACCATGCACTGAACCCAGGATTCGGAACTAAGAACCTGAGAGACCGACCGCCCGCCGACATCGGCCCCGAAGCCCAACCGCGAACCTTGGAATCTGGACGCCCATCGAAATCGGCCCCGCCACGTTCGCCCACCCCTTGAGTCTCCAATAGGGCCCCGTCAGTGCAAGCACTGATGTGGGAACTACTCTCTGTTCCCACTGTCCATTTCACATTCTCTCTCTCTCTCTCTCACTCTCACTCTCACTCTCTGTCTGTCTGTCTGTCTGTCTGTCTGTCTGTCTGTCTGTCTGTCTGCCTGTCTGTCTGTCTGTCTGTCTGTCTGTCTGTCTGCACGTGTACATCCATATCAACATCTCTACGTCAATATCCCTAGGGCTTCTCCCTCTATGTCTCTCTCTCCCTCTCTCTCTCTCTAGACTCGTTCTCTCTCCCTCTCTCCCTCTCTCTCGTTTCGTACGCTCTCTGTTATGCCATATACATATAGACGTGCAAATGCAAGGTGATCAATGACGCGATCTCTCAAGTATGCTCCCTACGATATGATATGCATGTTTCACACATTGCGATCTGCTCCAGACTCTTATCACTCGAGCCGTGGCCGCAAGAACCTGGGCTCTTGGCCACAACCAAAAACTCAACGGCCTGGAAACCTTGTGATGCTGGGAACTCCAAGTCTGGAACAAAGAACCAACGAACCCCTGTCCGTCCTCCGAAATCGGCCTGGAACCCAGAAGCGGGAACGCGGGAACATGGGGACCAGAACCCAGGAACCCGGCCGCGTCTCGAAATCGGCGCTGTACATTTGCTTACTCTTTATATCCGCCGAGACCTCTTCAAACAAAACACTGACCGGGGAACATCCGCTAGGACCTTTCAGTGACACGCCCCAGGAGGCCTCCACTAAATTCACAAGAGACCTCTCCAAGATCACCCCAAGAGGGCACAAGAGGCCACCAAAAGAATCCGAAGACAACCCACGAGACCTCCAACATCGCCCTACCACCCTGTGCGATTGGCACCTCTCACGCTGTGCACATTAGCTTGACTATGCTCCCCTTTCTCATCCACGCGTGGACAATTCCTCCGTCTCTCTCTCTCTCTTTCTTCCTTTCTGTCCCTCTCTCACTCTCTCTGTCCCTCTACGCTGTTTGCGGATGACTGCAAATTGAATGCGCTCCCCTCTGCTCTGCACTCTCGAACATGTACTCTTTACTCTCTACGATCCACTCTCTCATCCTGAGCGCGGTGGCAAAGACTCGGGACCCTTGTTTTCTCGAATACTTGGCCGCGGCAGAAGTTGCCTTGGAAACGCGGGATACCTCAAGAGGGCCCAACCGTTGCCAAGGCGGCGTCACAACCCCACTGCGTTTCCAAGATGGCTTCAAAGCACCAAGCGACCCCAAGCGGCCCGAGAATGCGGCGGATTCGTGTCGCGACGACCCCGGCGATGGTTTCCGACGTCGCGTAGCGGTCGGCAGCCTTCCGACGGCCAGATCGTCCATCGAAGGCAGGTGGCGTTCAACCTCGAACGCAGGCGGCGGGGTCGCCGCGGAGCCAACGCGATGCGAACCATCCGTGCCCTCAGGGAGCCCCAGTAAGGGCCCAATGATCCGCACATGATCTCGACGTGGCTCCTAGCAGACCGCTGGGCAGCTCCAAGGCGGCACGACATGTATGCGACGGGCGGTCAAGAGATGTCTCAATGACCATGCGATGGCCCCAAAGTGGCCAAAGCAATGCCAGCACGCAACACCAGGGCCCTGCATGGCCTTGAGTTGATGCGCCCTCAAGATGACCCCAAGGCAACGCCAATCTGAGATCGAACTGCGGGATCTTCATCCCGCCCGAGATTCTATAGGAGGGGTAATTAGGGGGGGGTCAATGCCTCCTGAGCCCTCGTCCCCCTCAGAGCTGCCGTCGCGGTGACCTCGTGGTGCCAAAAACCAAGATGTGCGCTCGGGCGCACCCGCACAACTTCAAGGAGTTTTCGGCACCGCGATGTCATATCTAATCTCCGCCATCTCGGGTAAACTCTCCTCGCAACTCACTGACCACTCTATACTTCACTGTCTAGATCCTGGGGCACTTGGCCGCAACCAAGACCTCCAAAACCCCGAAACCTGACACTGCCAAGAACCCCGGAATTGGGACCCCCGGGACCCCCGGGAACCTGACACTGCCAGGGACCCCGAACCCTGACAGTGCCAGGACCGCCGGAATCGAAAACCAGGAATCCAGGAAGATGTTGTGGCAAGCGGAGCCAGCCAACAATATCCGCTGAATACCTGTACATTGTAATACCATGCTGCATTCAGATTCATTTTTCAGATGGCGAGGGACGCCAGGGAGAAAGAATCCAAAAAGACCATGGTCGGCATTCCTAGGTCTCCTGTGCGCTCCTGATCAATAACTGCTCGGTCTTCTGGACCTCCTGGACGCCCCTGCCAGCCCAAGGCAACGGATCAATACGGCCGGGAGAGTGCCAAAACGGCCCCTCGAAGCCCCTAATAGGCTTCAGAAGCCCCTAAGTGGCGTCAGAAGCCCTGGTGGCGCCCCGAGACGGCCCCAAAAAAGACCCCCGAGAGGCCAGCAAGACGCGCTGCATATTGATGTTCCCATCCGCACCTTCGGCCTTCAGGGAACTCGAGACCGCCCGAAGAGGCCCCAAAGATCGTGGGCCAAGAAGGCTTCCAGACGGTCCAGGAGAGCCCCGAGACGGCGCCAAGAAAGCCCACATTCGGCCCAAGATGACGCGACGGCGCCCCCAAAAGTCCTCCACGTCGGGATCCAGTCGTAGAGGGAGACCGCGTTTGGCAGCAAGACGGGCGCCCAGTGCTCTCGAGGGGCTCCCAGGAGGCCTCCAGAGGCCTCCAGGAAGCCCCACGAGGACTTGGAGATGCTCTTTGGAGTCTTTACAGACCCAACAGGGGGAGCCTCAGCCAAAAAAACTGAGAAGGACGACGGGTAGCGAGGACAGCGAACAATGACAGTAATATGTGCTGCGCCTCCTCGTTGTACTAGTTATGTTTGTTGTTCGTTGTTCTCTCTCCCTCTCTCTCTCCCCCTCGGTCTGTCTCGCATTCGGTCTGTGCCCGAAAATTGAAGGACCACGGTGCATGGCTCAAAGCGCCAAAACAGTCTCTTACAAGTACACCCAATTGCACACACGTCTATAATGTGTAAGTGTGTATGTATAGATGTACGTACAATTACTCAAGCTTGCACTTAGGGGTTCCTTATTTCTTATAAAAAGGAACTGGGTCTGGGTGTCGGTCTGGCGGCTATATTGTCGCCGTCGCCACCGCACAACACACATTGCATCAAACATATTACCCACCAGCAAGCTTGCACCACATCGATGTCACCACATAGATTGCCCCACATATAATCGGTCACATTTACTGCATAACATAGGTTGCACCATTTATGTTGTACCACATCGTGTGCAGCACAGATTGCACGACATAGACTGCTAGAAACGCAATGTTTGGCGTAAACGCTGGCTAACATGTATAAACGTCCTCCGCGGCCTCCATCTCCCAGGGTGAGATGGAGAGATGGACGGAGAGATGAATAGAGGGAAAATCGCAGCACGCAAGCAACGCTGTGCAATCCCACGGCAAGGCCAGGTCGCCAGAGCCTCCATCTTCTGACCAGACATCCCCTCCTCTCCCTCCTCCATTTTGCCAACGACCCCCTCCTCCGGCTCCTCAACCTCTTCCCCTGCACGCCGTGACCATGAGCTCTGAACGGCGAGAACCACGAACGACTGGCATGAAGGGGTCGGCGGATGTGGCGCAGGCCTGACGGATTCTTGTCTTCGGCAGCCGCCCGCAGGACGACAGGCGCGGCCCGCACGGCGGCCTGGGGCCCAACCGTCCCCAAGGCCTGCGTGGCAAACTGCCGCACCTCGTGGTGCGCGTCCTGCGCAAGGGCCAGCGCGAGGCCGGGCACCGCAGGCAGCAGCTCCTTCGCTCCGCCCGGCCGCCTGCCGATGTCGCGCAGAGCTCGTGCCGCAGCCACGCGCTTCTTTGCGTCCTGCTCCGTTTGATTCAGCACCTCCAGCATCGTCCTGTTCAACATGTTAACCGTTGCCAGATGCGCGTGGGAACGTGGAGATGATGTAGGGATGGGAACGGGCGCAGTGGTGCTGGTCTGCATGTGGCGATGCTGAACGACCACCGCCCTCACCCCAGGAAGACTGCCCTCGATCTCTGTGATATGCCGCTCGGCCATACAGCCGAGAAGGATGGACATGAATGCGACCCAGGCGGCGGAACGTGTCGAGCATGGCCCCGCCGATATCGAGCCCATCGGTATATGAAACTGCAGACAACGATTTCGTAGGGTCAACGGCGGCCTCGTAAGAAGACCGCTTGAACCAAAACGCTCGCAAACAATACTAACCTGACACATCCCTCATCTAACCTGATCTGCTGCCTGTCCGAGACTGCGCGAAAGGATTTCCTGACCCGTTCAGAGCTAGCCTGGCTAATCGCAGGGCGGCACACGCGCGGCTGCAACGAACGCAACGAGGGGGATGGACACGAAAACGAGGATGATCACGAATGACAACAAAGAGAGCGGAACCACAACGAACTAGAAAAGAACTTAGAGGGAGGGGTAACAACAAGATCTGGACGATTCTAAACGTGGGAAATATAAGGCGCGTGCTCTAGTTATTCGCGAAACACCCTGGAGTCGCAACGATAAGTACTGACACACAAAGACAGTGACCCTGACCACCGCAGTAGGCAACCTTGAAACGCGTATAACTCCCCGAACAATATACAGACGACTGGGAACGACATGCTTCGACTTCGTCTGTTACGTATGTCTATGTGCCAGCGTGGACCGCAACCTGTGATTTATTGCACTGTGGATGTGTAAGTGAGGTGGTGTAAGCTATGTGGTGCAACCTACAGCTACGGTGTCGGAACACGCTATGCGGTGGAAGCCGTGTGGCGAAGACTATGCGGTGCATGCTATGTGATGTAAGCTGTGCGCTGGAATCGATGTGGTATCATTCGTGCGGTGGAAGCTCAGCGGTGTCTGAGGCAACCAGGCGCCCACGAGGCGCTCAGGAGCGCCCGCCGCGAGGTGCTCACAGCCCCCCGCCAGGCACAGCCCAGCCGCACCTGCCCCGACTCTTGAGGTGGAAGCGGGGTGGTGGTATACGCTGCACGCTGCAGGCGGTGTGCAGTAGGGGCCCGACCACAAGAGAAACTTTCCACGAGAGACCTCCCACGAGGAACCCTCCACGAGCAGCGCCGTGCACACAGCGCGGCGCGCCCACGAGGCGCGCCCGCGGCCGCCCACCGGGCAAAAAAGTCGGCACGCCCAGGCGGCGCACGCGGCGCGCCCACGGGGCGCGCACACCCGGCCGGCGCGCCGGGCGCCCACGAGCCGGACAGACTTCGACACACCCGGCAGCAGCGCACGCGGCACCCACGAGGCGCCCGCGGCCCCGCCCGCGAGGCGAAGCCCACGGCTCCGCCCGGCCAGCACACGGGGCGCCCACGGCCGGCCGGGCGCCAGGCGACGCCTCGACACTCCCAGCCAGCGCACAGGGCGCCCAGGAGGCGACCGCGGCTGCCCACCGGGCCAAGCCCGCAAACATCCCTCCGATATGAGTCATCAACCTGAGCATGGTCCTCTGAGTGCAGCACTGCTTTGGGAACGTGACTTGGGCGAATGCGGCTGGGCAGAACGTGCATCCTGCTTTGTGACCCCGGCGCTTCATCTGAGGGGGGGCGGCCTGGCAGACCACGTGCGAACGACAACCTCCAGGCGCCCGGACCACCTTCTGAGAACGACTCGGGTCCCAAACCGGTCCACTCGCTGGACAACTTTGGGAACGTCGATCTGGGCTCGGGGCTCGGGATACTTCTGATGCTCCTGTACGTGTACCGATTGAGCTGCTGCTGGGCCTGGTACTTCTTTTTTTTTGCTGTGTGTGCGTGCGATTAAATTCTTCTTCGGCCGAATGCAACCTGCGTGTTCATTCATAGACAATGTGAAACCTCCCTCGACACATTTACTGTGCATGGTTCGTAGAAGGAGAGACATAGGGAGAAAAATAACGAGAGAGAGAGAGAGAAGAGAGATGTTCAGGTCACGGTGGGCGAAACGCAACTGCAGAATAATGAACCAAATGAACGCGAAGAGATCGCGTACAAGCAAACATGGAGTCGGCAGAACGATGGGGACCACAGACATACACGAACAGCAATGCTGGCGGCCTCTTCGGCCACGGCGCGAAGCATCAAATTGTCGCAAAGATCCTCGACGCGCTTGGTGCAAGGAAGGGGGTCGGGAGGAAGCAAGGCATGCAGTCAGGCTCAACAACAAGCAACCGAAAGAAGACAACGTCGCTTCACAATGATTCGTGTTTGCTCCTCAGAAAGGATGCTTCCGTGACGCCCCGATCCCCGCCTCCAGCGCTTCTAGGCTTGATGGGCAGTGTCGGCCAGCGTGACCAACCATGAATGACCGCATAAACAGATACTCGATGCCATGTGTATTCGGCCAAAGAGCGCGGCCTCCAAGAGCCCCGCGTTGACCCAACACCAAAGCCTTCGACATTGGCCCCACCACCGATATCACTGGTCACCTCAGACGACAAAATATGGGACCTCCGATCCGTGTACCGGCAATCATGGTGAAGTCTCTTGGATGTCCAGGAGACAGCCACTGACCGCTGCCGACACAGAACTCGGACATCCTCCTCTTCATCAACATCATAATCGTCATCATGATCAACATCATCATCATCATCATCATCATCATCATCATCATCATCATCATCAGCATCAGCATCGTCATCATCATCAGCAGCAACATCATCACTATCATCGTCATCATCGGCATCATCATCGTCATCATCATCATCGTCCTCATCATCACTGCCATCGTCATCAGCATCGTCATCGTCATCGCCAGTGCCACGACCATCACCATCAAAACAGTCATCAGCGAAATCACCAACATCATCGCCACTCTGATCATTCTCATTATTCTCGTCGGGGTAAGTCCGTCCTGGATGATCCATCATGGCGAGGCGCCTGCGGCGCCAGCGCTGGCGTGGACTGGGCTCGACGCAAGCGGCGGCCTTCGCTCGCAAGACCATCAATGATCGTGGGGGTGGTATAAACTCGTGAAGTCTTTGCACAAAGGCTGATCCCTTGGAGACACAACAGGGCACGAAATGGGCCACAACAAATTGCCTGGGCGCCCCAGGCAATGTCGTGTGATGAGTCATCTGAGGCACCGCGGGATGGACACACCTGGCCGCCCGCCCAACGGTGCGGGCGTTGGACCAAGCAACCTTCTTATCACTGTCACGTGCACAGATCGTCGCCACTGCGACCACCAGCACCAGCAGCGCTGTGTCCCATCATTGTCGTCGGCGCGGCAAGCACATCCCGGCTCGCCAGCGGCAGCCGACAAGCATGGGCGGCAGGGAGAACGACACAGGGGCGCGAAATTGCCCGCGCGAGAATGCCCGCGTGAAAAGGCCCCAAAATTGATTTCCCGGACTCGTTTGCGAGCGCCCGCACGCGCCTGCGAGCGCCCCCCAAACCAGCAACCGCCTGCGACATTCGCACAGAAATTTCATGCGGACACTTTTGCGCGGCATTTCGCGGCGCTGTCCGTGCTGGAGCTCGCGCAGAGCAAAATTAAATGTGGTGCGGCATTTCGTGGGCATGTCATGCCTCTTGTCGCGTTCATGCGGGATTATTTTCGTGTTCGTACGAGAATAATTCCGTGTTCGTGCGACCGAAATTTCGTGCGCGTGCGGGAATGAAGTCGTGCTTGGGCAGCAATCGCTTTGCATGTGCACGGCAATGTATTCACTGCCAGGGACTACAACAGACATGTCACGCTATGCGCAGACATGACAAAGCACGAAGGCCAACTACCACGGGATCAGTGAGAAGCAACGCGCGGCCAGCAGACCCCTCCGCGCGCGGCAGCGCCACCTACGCAGTCAAAGCAACCCCCTGTCCGTTAGGAAACGATTTCCTGCACGCCCACTTCTCGTTACCACCAAGGGCTGGGCACCTAATTATGAGTCCTTGAGCTCGGCGACCCACTGGACTGCAGCTTCAACCTGAGTCGGCGGGCTCCGCGACTCCCCTCCTCGACGCGATCGCCGAGGACATGTCGGAAGCCGGGCGAGGGCTGCTGAACCCGTGGCTGCTAAAATCGACCTCCAGGAAGTCGTCTTCGTCCTTCCGGGAAGAAGCCCGTTGACTGTTTCGCGCGCCGCGCCTCATTCCGGGAAGCTGTTTCTTTTCCTTCCGGGAGGGCCGCTTTAGCAGCCACGGTCTTAAAAGCCCTCGCCCCGCTTCCGAACATGGCCGCGGAGGCCCGCCTGCAGTGCACCAGGCGGCGCGTGGCGCCGAGTGCGAGCGGGGCGGTCGCTCGTGCGGAGGGCGGCTGCCCCCCGTGACCGAGGAAGGCCACCGCGGCGGAGAGGGCCACCGGCGAGCCGAGGCGGCATCCTGCGGCAGCTTCGCGCGGCGTCGGCGGGCGCGGTTGCTGTCGGCGCCGCGCCGATCCTTCAGCCTCGAATCGATGATCGCGGCCCCGATCGTTCCAGGTTGGGTCCCGTCGGGCCCAGCCAGCGGCGTCATGCCGAGCCCCTCGGTATGACCCCGCGCCGCCGCAGAATTCGGCCTGGAGCGCCTTCGCCGGCGTCGCCAGCGCGCCAACGCCGCGTGAACCTGCCCCACTCTGGGCGGCCGCGCCCGCCTCGGTGCCGAGGGGCCCAGGCTCGGCGGTGGCGGGCCCGGGCGGAGGTGCGCACTGACTACCTACCAGACCACCCCAACCCAACCCGGAGACCCGAATTGGACCCGAATTTCGGGTTGGGGGGGGTACGGGCTCCATGTTACCTAACAGCGAAGACTGATAGGTTTCTAGTGGTTTCAAAAGAGAGCATCATGACTCCCCAGGGGGGTCTGGGCAGATGCCGGACGGGTGCCGCGGGAATCCGGGGACCCCTTTTTTAGCCAACAGTAGGCCACTTCGTGTTCTTCGAGTTCCCAGAACTCGATTCCTGGGCATGGTTTTGAATGCCCGGAGCCACCTGTAGGCCACTTCGTGGTCTTCGACTTCCCAGAACTCCATTCCTGGGCATGGTTTTGAATGCCCGGAGCCAACTGTAGGCCACTTCGTGGTCTTCGACTTCCCAGAACTCCATTCCTGGGCATGATTTTGAATGCCCGGAGCCAACTGTAGTCCACTTCGTGTTCTTCGACTTCCCAGAACTCCATTCCCGGGCCACATTTTGAATGCTGAGGCAGGCTGATGCTGAGGCTGAGGCAGGCTGAGGCTGAGGCAGGCTGAGGCTGAGGCCGAGGCTGAAGGCAGACTGAGGCTGAGGCTGAAGCAGGCTGAGGCTGAGGCTGAGGCAGGCTGAGGCTGAGGCTGAGGCAGGCTGATGCTGAGGCAGGCTGAGGCTGAGGCTGAGGCTGATGCAGGAGGCTGAGGCTGAGGCAGGCTGAGGCTGAGGCTGCAGGCTGAGGCTGAGGCTGAGGCTGCAGGCAGGCTGAGGCTGAGGCAGGCTGAGGCTGAGGCCGAGGCTGAGGCAGACTGAGGCTGAGGCTGAAGCAGGCTGAGGCTGAGGCTGAGGCAGGCTGAGGCTGAGGCTGAGGCAGGCTGATGCTGAGGCTGAGGCTGAGGCTGAGGCTGATGCAGGCTGAGGCTGAGGCAGGCTGAGGCTGAGGCCGAGGCTGAAGGCAGACTGAGGCTGAGGCTGAAGCAGGCTGAGGCTGAGGCTGAGGCAGGCTGAGGCTGAGGCAGGCTGAGGCTGAGGCAGGCTGAGGCTGCAGGCAGGCTGAGGCTGAAGGCTGAGGCTGCAGGCTGAGGCTGAGGCAGGCTGAGGCTGAGGCTGAGGCTGAGGCTGAGGCTGCTGAGGCTGAGGCTGAGGCTGAGGCTGAGGCTGAGAGCTGCAGGCTGAGGCTGAGGCTGAGGCTGAGGCTGAGGCTGAGGCAGGCTGAGGCTGAGGCTGAGGCTGAGGCTGAGGCTGAGGCTGAGGCTGAGGCTGAGGCTGAGGCTGAGGCTGAGGCTGAGGCTGAGGCTGAGGCTGAGGCTGAGAGAGGCTGAGGCTGAGGCTGGCAGGCTGAGGCTGAGGCTGAGGCTGAGGCTGAGGCTGAGGCTGAGGCTGAGGCTGAGGCTGAGGCTGAGGCTGAGGCTGGCTGAGGCTGGCTGAGGCTGAGGCTGAGGCTGAGGCAGGCTGAGGCTGAGGCTGAGGCTGAGGCTGAGGCTGAAGCAGGCTGAGGCTGAGGCTGAGGCAGGCTGAGGCTGAGGCAGGCTGAGGCTGAGGCTGAGGCAGGCTGAGGCTGAGGCTGTGACTGCGACTGCCGTTGCCACTGCGACTGTCATCGCGAATGCGACTACGACTGCGAGAACAGCAGAATTCTACAACTGGATTCTCATCTGAATCTTAAGGGGAATGCTTCCAGATATGCTCCTACACATCGCTGTCAGGTTGCTTTGCCGGGATAATGTTTTTTCAATGTTCCCCGACCACCCCCACACTGGAAATCGAGGATAATGTTGGGCCTTCGGGTTGGGTTTTGGGGTGGTCTGGTGGGTGGTGACGCACGCCGGTGCTCGCCGAGGAGACACCCCGCCTCCGAGGGCGCGGCCCGCCCTGGGTCCGCTCGTCCTGGGCCCGTGCTTTTGGAAGCTGGATCCGGCTTGCAAAACACGTCGTGTTTTCAAAGCTGGATCTGGCTTAAGATAACTGCGTGTTTGTGAAGCCGGATCCAACTTGAAAAAAAACACGCAGTTCTCTCAAGCCGGATCTGGCTTCAAGAACGCGCAGTTCTCTCGGGCTTAAGAGAACCTCGTGTTTTCTCAAGCCGGATCTGGCTTCAAGAACGCGCAGTTCTCTCGGGGCGGGGGGGCGGTGGGAAGGTGACAAAGCTCGTGGGGGAGGGGGAGGAAGCATTGGCTTGGGATCGGCGACGCCTCGCCGACAGACCGGAGATATCATAAGCCCTGGGCCCGCCCGCACGGCAGGACGGAAGGCTGCCGCTGCGGGCGAGGGGGGGGGGGGGGATGGGGAGGGGGGTAAGTTTCCCAGACCCCCGACGCCATGATGCTTTCGTTACGTCGACCCCCCCAGGTCTCGACCTCTTCCCCGGGACCGGTGTTTCGTCCCCAATCGATGTGAGACGGTCCCGAGGCCCGGCAGGGGCCCCCAGGGGCCGAACGTGGCGAAAAACCTCCCGTCGTGATCTTGACCTCGCTCGAGGGGCTCTGGGTGGGTGGGTGTGGGGGGGCGGGGAGGCAGCGTGGCTCGGACTCGGCGGTGGTGTCGCCGGCGGAGCGGAGACTTTGAGGCCCCTCGAGAGAGAGAGCGAGGCCGCACGTGCTGGGGAGCGGGGTGGGGCCCCCCGGCCCCGGGCGAGGAGTGGGCGACCGGGGTGAGGTCGGGCACGTCCTCCTACCGGCGGGTGTTGGGCGAAACTTTCACACAATATTTGTTTATCCGCGGGTCGAGAGCGCACCCCTTCCGGTCGAAGCTAAGCGGGCCGCGCGAAGAGCTTGAATTAGGCAGAGAAGAGGAGGGAGGAGGCGGCGGAGCCTCAGAGCGAGGCCGAGAGGAGGCATAGCCTCGGATACAGGCGGCGCCGAAGCCGAAGTGCAGCGAAGACTTAGCACAATAGCCCAAACATAATCAAAGATATGCAGAATTAGTCGAGGCATCGCCACGAGGAAATAATTAATGCAGGAATGGGCGACTGGGGTGAGGTCGGGCACGTGCTCCTGCAGACAAAGAACGTTGCAAAACAGTCAAAGAACGTGCAGACAAAAATCAGACAGATTCAACAAGAAGTAGAGAAATCGTCCCCAGACGATCCCTTTACTACACTTGGCGAAAACTCAAAACTGCCCCCCCCAAACAATAACCAAAAGATGCAAACATAGAAAGAGTCGAGGCATCACCCCCAGACTATCAGTCTGTACACATTGTTGAATCCTCCTCCTGCAGGGGAACATGCCCGACCTCAGACCGGGGTCGGTGCGCTCCCCCCGTCGGCGTCTCTCCGGGGACAGGCTCATGGGGGCACCGCGTCGACCCCCGTCTCGCCCACTCGGGAACAAGGCTACAGGAAAGGGACTACCCCGTATCGCCGCTCCCGGCTGGGGCGGGAAGGAGGCGTGAGACCTGGCCCGAGACGATTCGGGGAACAAAAAGTGGCGTAAACATAGAAACTCGGAGGTCCGCGCGGACTTCTCGGATCGGCGCTGGACCCCCCTCCCTGGCGCGCGGAGCGCGCCAGGGGCGGCGCCGGAGGCGCCGCCGGGGGGCCCCAGCGCCGATCCGAGACATCCGCGCGGACCTCCGAGTTTTTAATGTTTATGTCACTCTTTGTTCTCCTAACGATGCGCCCTCACAAAACAATCTTAGGGATGCGCCCTCAAAAATCCAGGGAATCCCCAAGATTGGCATCGTGGTGAGGAGATGCCCAGCACAGGGATAAGGATATGCTCCAGGCTGGTAAGCTCCCGGCTGGGGCGGGAAGGAGGCGTGAGGCCTGGCCCGAGACGATGCTCCCGCAGGGCCTGGGAGCACGCCGGCCTCTGGTGGGCGGGGCGCTCGGCTCGGATCTGCCGCGCCCGACCTCGCAGAGTCACTGCGGCGAGGAAGCCGGCGCCTGGACTGAGCTGTCGTCCGGCACCGCGCTACAGTCGGGGCGTTGACCTAAGGAACGAAAAATAAGGAACGAGGCCCCTGTTTCCCGTACATTAAACTCCGATTTCCCATGGAAAACCTCAGGCAAACCCAAGGAGCACTGTAAAGCAACTAAGGAACACGGAGCCCCTCCCCAACAAGAAGGTTTCCTTCTTCAGGGCCCCGACTGTACCACAAGGAACCCCACGCCGAGCAAGGAGCGAGGGGGCTTCGCTGACCACGGCGGGACTTTTTCTGGCATCCGCCCCTGAGCCATCCCCCCCCCTGTCGTGGCCCCTGCCAGGCCCGGACGGCTGCCGCCGAAGGCCAGGAGAAGGCCCCAGGACCAGACCGATAGGGCGCTGGGAAGAGATCATCTCTACGAGGTCCTACGAGGAACGCGATCAACACGTGCTGCGGGAACGTGTGCGATTGACAACGGCCAGCTATCTCATAGCCCCGCGGCCACCAGCGGCCTGCGGGCTGTGCCTGTGTCCTCCACGGGCTTTCAGGGTCGCGAGGCTCGCGGTTACAGGGGGCCTCACATTCCTCGCACGTTGCTGAAACATTTGTACCTGTCCCCCCATGCCATCTGGCCCTCTACGGGCTAACCAGCAGCCGTCGTTGCCTCGTCTCTCCTCTGCTTGGAATACTTGCTGGCCAGAGGGGCGCATACAAACGTGTCTTTTGAAGCGTGCCCTCTTGCACCACATTCTCTGACTTCAATTTCCATTGCAAACACCGTTGGGGCCTGTTCCACACTTCCGTATTTTTCGGGAGCAGGCCCTGCTGCCTTCACAGTGTCGACTGTTGTCCACTGTGGAGCTCGAATGTTGTCCGCCTTCATTTTGCACACACCAGCGTCACCCGTGGAGACGTGTAGAATGGCTCGTGGATCGCCAACGGCTGCTCCCCTCATTACTGAGAACACAACGTGGGGTAGGCGTGCTTTTGGTCGTGCCAGCGCCGCTCGCCTTGGAGGTGGGGCTTGGAATGCTGGGCAGGTTATTGTAATGCTTATCTAAATTGGTTTTGGGGAGGGGAAGGTACGGTGAGACTCTCCTTCCCTCTCCTTTTTTTGGTATATGAAACTCTTCGTGAGGGCGAAGCTGCACAATAGAGCAACCAGGGTTTCCCTTTCACTCCCAAGTCCTGGCCATCCCCGCCCCGCACTTGGGGCGAGGACGCAATGGAGGCGGTGCTGCACGGGAGCCCAGGCGGGCTCTGCGCTCTGTACAGTGCTGCTCCGCTCCTCGCCTTCCGCATGCTGGACAGGGCGGCGGTGGGGAGGCTGCCCACATAGAGGCCTCCTGGATGGGGGCGGAGTAGACGGGGTCGGACGATCGCGCCGCATCGCCGATACATCGGCGATGCATCGGCGATGTATCGGCGATGCACCAGCGATGCGCCGTCGACGTCGGCGATGCATCGGCGACGTCCACGTGAAGCAAATCGGGCTCCACATCGAGCCGCATCGGCGATGCACCGGCCATGCGACGCGATCCTCCGACCCCATCTCCTCCGACCCCACGAGGGCGGCCCAAACCACAGCCTGCAACCCCAGACCCCCGACGTCACAATTTTTCCATGACGCGACCCCCAGAGGTCCAGACCTATTCGCTGGGACCGGTTTTTCACCCCGAGTCGTTTGTTGACGGTCCCGAGGGCCGGTAAGGGCCCCCGGAGGCCGAAAACATAGAAAAACCTCCCGTGGTGATTTTTTCTTGACTCGAGGGGGTGTGGGACTCGCCCTGGGCTTCGACAACAACGAGAACCTCCCGCGGACCCGCACGAGACAGCGCCGGGGCCCCGCGGCGCGCCCACGCCCCACGCCTTGGCAGACGGCGCGGGCGCGGCTCTCCCGCCTCCCGCGTGCGACCCCTGCCGGCGCCGCGGGCGGTGGAAGTCATGGCGCTGGGAGCGGGCGCTCGCCCGGTTCGGCCTGCCTAACCAGCCTCGAACGTATCCCTATCCCTGAGATGGGCGAGCAAAAAGCGAGGACAATCTTAGGGACAGGCCCTCAGAAACTGAGGGAGTCCTTAAGATCGGCATCGAGGTGAGGTGATGTCAGGCATAGGGATAGGGATATGTTTCACACTGGTAAGCTGGGAGCGGGCGCTCGCCCCGCTCGGCCTGCCGCGGCACGGTCCTCGGCAGTGGACGGAGCGCCCTGCCGCGAGGCACCCCTCTCTGGCCATCGCTCGGACGTCCATTCCCTGTGTTTTTGTTCGGTTTCGTGCGGCGTGGTCTTTTCGCCAAGTGATCAAGGATGCTCCTCGATGGTCCTCGCCGAAGGAAGAATGCACACGTCCGAGCGATGCCAAGCTCTGGGCGAAGACGGGCCCGGCCAGCAGACATGGCGGCCGCGACGCCCTCCTCTCGAGGGCCGAAAGGAGGGCAAGTTGCTGGTCGACGCGACAGGGCGGAGGTTCGATCTCAGTCTCCGAGGCTCTGCGGATTGTGGGGGCCTCGCGGCGGGTGCCGCCGGGGCGGCAGCGGTGACCGCAGGAGGCGTCGTGGGGGGCTGCGACGGGAAGAGGCGGGCGCGCGGCCGTCGGCAGGAGGCCACCTGGCGACCACCAGTGACCCACCCACTTCCTCGGCCGCTCACGCTGCGGGGTGAGGATGTGGCGTTCTGCGTGCGACAAGGGAGCGACGGCAGGCTCCGAGTCGCACTGAGGCGAGAAGGGACAGCAGCATGGGGCGGATTTTATGGAGGCGGTCAAGAAGGAAGCCTGCTCGTCCCCGCCGTCGCCCTCCTCGACCACTCCACCGTGAGGATAGAGTCGGGCCTCCTGGTCCTGCTCTCGCCCCCGGCGCAGGCGGCTGCCAAGAAAAGCCATCAACGGGGAGAGCGCCTCAAGGAACGAAACATGAGTATTGCCAGCATCTCCTTCTGCAGAGCGGCTTCATCATCGCCCTCGCCATGGCACAATCACCACAACCCTCCTCCTAATCATCATTACCGTCGTCGGCGTCGGCATCGTCGTCGTGATCGTCATTATTCTCATTGCTTACAACGTATGCCGAAACCAACATCACTATAGGCATCGTCTGCATCGTCATCCACACAGCACCATCGTACCATCGTCATCGCCGTCGTAATAAATGTCATGATCGCCGCTGTCGTCTTCTCTGCCTACCCTTGACGCGCGTAACAAGAGAGGTCCATCGTGGCCAGCGCCCAGCAGAAGTTGGAGAGCTCCTGCGGCGAGAAGTCCTGCGTGGACCGCACCAAGCTAGACCATATTACACACAAGCGCATCATTGCTATAGCAAGCAATTTCTGCCGCCAGCAGGCTGAAGCGATATGCGGAGACCGAAGGGATACCTTAGACACATCGAGACCCTTCAAATTCCAACGTCTTGACAGCAGGAGAACGGGGCGACCGACATCAGGGTACACAGCACTCGATCGTGGCACTGGCCGCCCTCCGCGATGCACCGGTCTCCGACTCGCGGCCAAGCAGCTGGCCCCGAGCAGCCCACTCGGCGCAAGCTCTTGGCCGCGTCGGGGCTGGGCGCCGGTCACAGGTGGGCACGTACCTGAGGGGCCATAGAGACACACACACAAATCAATACACACACAAACCCCAGGATTCCTCCGTATGTTTCCCCTCTGTTGGGGATGCTCGTCTCCCCCCCCCCACACTTCCCAGATTCCCCAGCATTTTTTCTGGTGAATCGACGACGAGTTGTTGTGTCTGCGTGTGTCTTCCCCCTCCCGCGTCGTAGCGATCGCCCGCGGCTGCTGGGGAGAACAAACACCTGCAGCAGGCCTCCCGCCCGCTGCGCGCCTCGAGCTGCGCGGAGCGCGCGGCTCTCTCTCTTCGCCGCCGCGCGCCGCCCCTCCCGACCCTGGCCATCGCTCGGGCGTCCATGTCCTGTGTTTTTTTCGGTTTCGTGCGTGGTCTTTTCGTCAAATGATCAAGGATGCTCCCCGATGCTCCTCGCCGAGAAAAAAATACACACGTCCGAGCGATGCCAGGCGACCTGGAGGATGAAGGCGGGCACTGGCGACCCCGATCCCCCCTCCTGCTGAAGTTTCGACTGGCAGGACAGGCAGTGCTGCACGCGGGAGCATACCACGGAGGGGCGCGCATCCTCGCCAAGGGTGCGTCCGGATAGCCTCCCTAGGGGTGTATCCCCGAGCATCCCTGGGGTCTATCCCCTCACCGTTGGGCTTTCGGCTGGCAAGACAAGTAAGGCTGCACGCGGGAATACGCGGAAAGGTATGCCACTAAAGGGGCGTGCCGCCTCGCCAGAGGTGCCTTCCAGATAGCCTCCCGGAGTTTCCCCTCCTCTTTTCTGAGCGACACTTTGGTGGGGGGGAAGCTTCGAGGTCGCCTGCGAAAGGATGGCTCTCTGGCTCACGCCGCGAGGCGCCAAGCCCGATCGTCGTGGCGCGCCCAACCTCCGGACCTAGAGCCGACCCGCATCGTAAGGATGCGCGGTAAGGATGCAAGTTACCAGCCTCGAACTTACCCCTATCCCTAAGATTGACACGCCAAAGAGCGATGACAATCTTAGGGATGCGCCCTCAAAAAATAAGGGAATCCCTAAGATTGGAGATGCCCAGCATAGGGATAGGGATATGTTCCAGGCTGGTAAGCAAGGGCCTCGGAAGGCCGCCTCGCAGATTCTCGGGCGGCGCGCGGCCAACGACAGTGGCCAGGGATGGGCCGAGGAGGCAAGGATGCAAAGGGGTACCCTTGGGGAAGGTCGCCCATCCTTGCTCTGCGGGTTGATCTCCGACCTGCGCAGCGAAGCACAGCCATCCCCGCGCTCGCGGGCGACATCGCAGGCATGCAGAGGGCCAGCCACGCCGGCCGCGGCCTGCCACGGAGGCGTCTGGGAGGGGCCCTGGGCTCATCGGGTCCGGCGTGGGAGTGGACGGCACGGCACCCGCAGGAGGTAAACGCACACACCACGCGGGCTCTGTGCAACGGCAGGGGCAGAACGAGGGGCTCAGAGCCGCCGCCGGGCGGCCCCACACCGTCGAGACGGGCGTCTCGCTCCCTTCGGCCTCGGCTCCCAGCACGGGCCATCACGTCTTGGCCGCCCAGCGGCCCTCTCTTCTCCCAGCCATCCTCCACGCTGGCCGCAGCCGGACACCGCGCCCCGACTCCGCCGCGGCCTCCGTGGCTGCGGGGCAGGACTGCGGGAGGAGCACCACCCGCCGCGGCTGCCGTGGCGGCCGTCACCGCCCGCCGCGGCTGCTGCGGCGGCGGCAGGCGGCCGCGGCCTCGGCCACGGCCGGCCGCGGCCGCGCCCGTCGGCGCCCCAGGCCGAGCCCGCGGCGTCCAGCCGCCGCCCGCCCCGGTGGAGAGGACGGCCCCACGGGCCCTTCAGGGCCGACCCCCCGCGCCGCGGGGCGGGGGGGCCGCCGAGGGCATTCATCAATCCAGGCGCGCAGGCCGCTGCTGCCGCTCCGCGGTCGGCGCTCGGGGGACCCCGGTGCGGGCAGTAGTTATATCCACATCCAGTGCGTCTTGGATTCCTGGGCGCTCTTCCCCAGAAACCATATAGACGCACTGGATATGGATACAAATCTGGCCCCCAGAGGCTTGACTTTATCCGTATCCAGTGCGCCTCGGCGTTGCGGCACATCATCTTCCTAAAAAAGTCCACGACGCTCTGGGGGTGGATATAAGTACTGCCCGCACCCGGTGGGCCCGAACCCAAGGCCACTCTGGCGAAAGGTCACCCTCACGTGTCGTCGACGGCGGGGCAGCGGCGTCCCCGAGCGCTCCCGAAGGTCGTCGCCGGAGGCCTCCGGTCCCCGCTGGAGGCGCTGCGGAGGCTCGTCGGCGAGGCGGCCACACGCTCGCCATCGCGCGGACGTCCACTCCCCGCGCATGTGTTTCGGCTTCCTGCGTGTTCGTTCTTGTGGCTCGACGGTCGAGGACGCTGCTCTCGGTGGCCCTCGCGGCGAAGGAGAGGCACACGTCCGAGCGGTGCCAAGCGCAGGCTTCGGATCGGACCCTCCCCCTGCAGGGAGGAGCCCGCCTCCTCCCCCCCCCC